CCCCTCACCCCTCAACTAACACCCCCTCCCACGCCCCTCCGGCCCCCCAGGCCCCTCCGCCTCCCCATTAATGACCTACGCCTACGTCGGCTGCTACGTGCACACAGGCACGCGCACCTCCACGACCGGCCTGGCCCTCAACAACTACACGACCACCTTCGCGGCGACGGGCAACGACCAATGCCGGCAGCGCTGCGCGGCGGGGAATTGGAATTACTTCGGGACGGTGAATGTTGGTACCGCGACGGTGGATTGTTGGTGTGGGAATGGGATTAATTATGTGACTTCGTAGGTTTATTTCTTCTTCTTCTACTACTCCTGGGCATTGGTTGTGTTTTGGGGAGCTGACACAGAGGGTGATGTAGGCAGGGCGGTTTGCTTGGTTCGGGACAGGTCACTGGGGAGGCTGGGGAGAATAATTGTCCTTCTTGTATTGGGGGTGCGACGCCAGGCAGCGTGCCAGGGGCCTGTGGCACGGCGACGGCGACGGCGGGGACGTCGATGGCGATTTATGCGAGGGGGTTTTGATTTTGAATCTCGTACTGTTTGAGTGGAGTTGGGTTGTGTTCGGTTGGGAAAGGCGTTTGGTTGGGTTGCGGTTAGAAGGAGGTAAAACAGTGAAAACACATCATCTCTTTGAACAATGTCGAAGCTTTCTTCATATTCATCATAAGTATGAAAGGTCCATTTGATTCTGTCCTTCTCTGACTTTCTTTCTTTCTTTCTCATCCAAAAGGAGCCACCCACGGCGCTTATCCAAAAAGTCTCAAAAAACGCCTTCGCTTTGCTCAAGTCCATACATAGCAACTGTGCAGGTAGAAACTCCCTCCCCTCTCTTGATATAAGTAACCCATTCGCTATACACACTAAACTCCATGAATTCTTTCTCGAGGGTATCACTAAATGAACGAAATCGGCCTCTGGGCGGTGGTAGCCTCCAAACAAGACCTATGCAACAAAACAGTATTTACAATCAAAATTTGAGAGGGCGGTGTGAGCGGCTCATCGTCTGAAGCCGGGGAACATTCCACGAACGGCTTTTCGCCAGGTGGATGTGGTTCGTGTTTCTTCGGCGTCTGGATCGGCGGGGGCGCGTTCACCAAGCATTTCGACGGCTCGCTGTCTTGCCCACTCTCTGCGGCTAGGAGTCGAGGGTGGTTGCACGTGTGGTGGAGGGCCATTCGACAACGGTGCTGGCAAAATTGAATTCGACTGCGTCAATGGTGCGGTGCTGTCAGCTGTCGTAGGGACAGGCGGTATAGGCGCCGTGGATGACAGCTGTTGCATTTGCTGCCCATTCGATACCGGCTCGCTGATTCTTCTCCCCGGACGCAGTTGCGAGAAACCAGAAAACGTTCGGACACGGATTCGAGCCGCTCGTGACAACGGCAACCCGTTTTCATCAACCTCGCGAGCCGCGTCTGGGTCGTCAGACACGCGCTCTCGCACTTGTCGTACCATCCGTTCTCTGCGAACCATGGCGTTGGTGATGATCCTGGGGCAGTAACCCTTGGGAAGGACAGTCCTTTTGCACATAGGACAGAGGCTGCTGCTGTCTCTCAGGAATGTATCGCAGCATTCGGGGTGAAACAAGTGGTGGCAAGGCAATTCTCGAACGGTAGTTCCTTCAGTGCCGGGACTTGCTGCAACGAAATCGTCCAGACAGATTGCACAAGTCGGTTGTGATAGAGGCGATGGTCGGTAACTACCCGTTCGTAGAAGTGTCGGTGCAGGCGGCGATGTCGGCAATGTAGTGGACTTGGTGCCGTCCAGCTTTTCCTCCTGAACGGAAGCTGACTTTTGCGATTGTTCAGGCACAGGTGTGCCTGTTCCGTAAGTGTACAGAGGCATCTGATCCAACAGTTCTTGTGGTACGGTGAGACGCTTAATGCCCAAAGCTTCCAGATCAACTTCGCCACTGGCGACTCGTCTTCGTAGATTCTGTCTCCTTCGACGCTGCAGCAGATGCATGGATAAGGATGTTAGTCCTATGATGGCAAGTAGGATGCCGAGAACGACCAGGAGGAAGACCCATAATGAGGGTAGTGTAGATCCAGAACCACCTGCTACAGTGAGTTATGAGCTTGCGATGCATCTAATCATTTATGGTTACACTCACCAGTATCAATGTCAACATATAACCTCACGTAGTCTCGCGAGTCGTAGAACTCTGTAAGTTCATGTCCAAATGGCACGTCGGTCATGTTTCCGCTGTATGCGGCGCTTGCTGCCATGAGGATCTGTCCATTCTGACCAGGCAGGGCGTATACGGGGAAGCCGTTCTCCTGTTTCCAACGCGGCTCGTCTATATCCCACATTGGATCGCTCTCATCCGGCGGCGTCGCACTAGAATTGCCTGGGACGAAGAACATAATGCCTTGTATCAGCCGAGCTCTTCCTGCTTTCATATATGCAAGCGCGCAGTCGCCGCTTGTCCATGGCGCGATAGCTATTTGCTGGTAATCCTGATCGGGCAGATTGGCCTGTCGTGTCGCATTTTGAGGGATGTAAGGTGCACTCGAGTTTATGCAAGGATCGCCTTCGGCAAGATCGGGGACGTATAGCAGGCCGGTGACATCGTTGCCGCTGGAAGCGCCGACGGTGGAGAGGGTTCGGATGTCGAAGGAAGTGAGGTAGTTGAAGGAGATGGAGGAGTTGATGCGCTGGGCTTCATCGGAAGCGCCCACGCCTTGCCATTCGGGGTTCGGGATGCTGAGGGTGATGACTTGGAGCGATTGGGCACCTTCAGAACGCGAGGTGTTAGCATTGGTGGAGTTGGTGTCATCGGCGGAGTGCGGGCGGGCATGGGGTGGTGGCACCAGCGGAGCCATGGTCGCGCACAAGGGGTACACAGAGGGCAGACGTACTCATTGCAGCGGGTGAGACAATGGCCGGTCAATCAATCAGTCACGGTAGCCAGCAGAGACAAAGGGCGGCGATCAACAATGGGCGTGGTTCCAAGCACAGGGCGGGCTCATTGTGAGGCGTGGCCGGTCGCAGTCGGTCGGAATGGGGGTGTATGGGCGGATGGAATGCTGGCGGCGGCGGTGGTGATGGTGTAGAGAGGGCGGCAGTGGGCGGGTGGTGGTGGTGGCAGGAGTGAGTGCGTGGTCGTGGTCTGGAGGATTCGATCGCCGGCCAACTCGAACGCATCAAGCGCTGGTGGCGGGCGGAGAGGCGGGAAGCACACAACGGCCTAGCTCTCCTATCCAGCTGCCGCTTTCAGTGACATTTGACTATGACATTGACTGATTCCTATCCATGCACCATCTCTCCCCATCAATTCCGCCGTCTATTTGGCAGGCTGGCGATGTGGTTGATGTCGACTGCCGAGGGAGCATCTAACTCCGGCCTTGCGCAACGTAAGCCGCCCTTGGCTGCGTGGATCCTAGCGCGAGACAAGCATTTGTGCCAAGCGTCGATCATCTACACGTGCTCCGCTTCTCCATGCGACCTCGCCTACCTCACTTGCCTACTTGTAAAGTTAGCCTAGCCCACTGTGCATTCCTGGAGAGAGCATCGCGTTGACAACCCACCACTTCACGGTCCTACTCTTTTATACATAATTTGTGCTGCATCGCGGAATGCGCCCGTTCCAGCAGCCCGGCATCCTGCACAACCAGACAACCTGATCCACGCAATCCTGCGACACGCCCAAAATGGCTCCGACCGCCTCCAAGAAGGGGACCCAGGGCAAGTCCAGTAAACAGTCTGACCGCCGCTCGGCTAGTCGCCATTCCACGCCCGTCTCCGCGCTCACAGATACCTCGCCACCGACTCCCCGCACCGCGACCCCTTCTACGAGCACTGGCGCTACCATGGCTGCAGAAACGCCTTACCTCCACACCTCGACCGCCGCGTTGATATCGTCAGAGCCGAGCATAGAAGCTCTCATCGAGAAGACGAGCGCCTCTGGTTCTAAGCCCGGTGACCCTCCCGTGGCGCGCGATCTTCATGGCTTGCACGATAAGATCCGCGATTCAGTGAATCGCTTCATGACGAAGCGTGGAGAGGTGTGTGATAGGAGTATGAGACAGCTTGTCCAGAGGCGGAAAGAGCGTGCGCAGGTAGAGCGAGAGCAGGAGGCTGCGCGTGCGGAAGCGGAGAGAGCGAAGATCAAGCGTGAGGAGGACGACAAGCGCAAGGAGAAGAAGACGCCCAGTAAGAAGAGGAGTCATGACGAAATGGATGTCGACGAGGATGCAGAGACCAAGGCAAAGAAAGAAAGCTTGCCAAATGTCGGTGCGCACGGACTGGCTCGGCAGGACGGTGTTGGTGTACATCAAGGTATGTGCGATTTCATTCACTTCATTGCGATTGTGCACGTGACAACCCGCGTCGCCACGTGCACGGACATCGAGGGCCTCGAGTCTTGCCCTCTGCCGTGTTCGACGAGTCACTCTCATTCTTGCAACACTTCACTAACAGATGGCTTCGTCAATAGGCCAACCTGCACCGCCCTCGCCGCCTGTTCAACCAGGAACTGTCGCGCCTGATCTTATGGACACGGCAGACTCCAACTCAGAATCAGGCGACTCGCACGCTGAACCTCCCTCGACTGCACCTTTGTACGAGCGCATCTTCGGCAAGGATCCTACGATGGGTCAAGATCCAATCATCTACGACATCCGCGACTTGGACGACGACATGAGCTACGAAGAGAAGAAGGCGATTCTGAATGTCGCAAAATGGCCCTCGAGCGATTTGCGACACCTCACTGCTGGCGATCCACCCGATCTTGACTTTACTGCGCAGGCAAACCAGAAGCCGCAGAATCAAGTCAACTTCACCACATTCCAGACGTTCATCGAGCCTTACATTCGTGCTTACACCGAAGAGGATGTCGCATTCTTGAAAGAGCGCCCTGACAACTCGGTTGCTCTCTCAATGCCCGCTCGTGGCAACAAGGGCTACCGCGACGTGTGGGCAAGTGAAGATGCTACCGGCACCGAACCACCTCAGAAGCACGTCAACAACCCGAATGAAGCGAGAGGTAGCATGGAAGACATGGAGGACGACTTGGCCGACCAAGACACCATCAGCATGGGTCCTGTCACCAGTCGCCTGCTTTCTCTCCTTCGCCCAGCTCCCAACGCCGCGAGACGAGACAAAGACAAGGACGATCACGACGATGCTGACACCTCCATGGTCAATGGCGACGACGCTCCCGAACCACCGCCTACTGCCGGTGCCGAGGACTTCAAGCCTGCGACGTGCCTACCTCCCGATGCTCCACGACCACTCAATGTGCCATCACTCGACTACGAGACTCTGGAACAGCGCATACACCAGGAGTTGAAGTACATTGGCATCCTCGAACCTAACGAGAATCCCAAGTATGATGCTCACGAAGACGACGAAGTTGCGGCCCGCCTGCGCACCCTCCAACACGAGCTTCGCCGAGTCAGCCGACAGAATAACATCCGCAAATCTCGAGTCCTCGAGTTGACTGAAGAGCGCATGGCCATGCAGGAGTACTCCAACATCGCCGACGACCTCGACAACCAGGTCAACGCAGCCTACCTCAAGCGCAACCGATCTCTCGCCAAACCCAACAACAAGAAAGGCGGCTCGCAAGCTCGGCCTGGACAGAAAGGCGTGGCATCTGGTATTGCTGGCGGTAGAGGTGTCAGTGATGGTGTGCGTGCACTGATGCAGAAGAGGCGGGAGTGGAACGAGATGGTCGGTCCTGTCGTCCAATACGGTAGACCCGAGATTCCGGGCGACGACCAGACCATCTTCGATGAAGCGAGTATGAAGCGGTTGGAGAAGCAGGAGAGGGAGGCGGAGGCTGAGATTGAAGGAGAGTAGCCAGCAAGCAAGATTCGAGGCATGACTGATGAAGCCGTTCTGCCGAAAGGACAGGCAGTGCAGAACGGCCACTGTCCAGCAGACGGAGTATAGCAGCGACGTTTGAGGGATAGGTCTGAGCGGAAGCTGTGGTCGCCGCACCTTTTTCGGTAAAAGACTGGACTGAGCGTTATTGATTCGCGTGGCAATTGGCACGCAGCGAAGACGCCGGACCTGCCATCAGTATGATGACATGAGGAGACGACCACGAGCAAATAACATGAATAATACGAAAGACATGCCTTGGGGCTGTGTTAATCAAATCCATCAGGGTCTCAAACTTCTTCCACTCACCACGACACGCCTTTTAGCCTAATGACCCTCCGTCATCAGCACTGCCTGCATTGTTAGAAAGACATGGACACTTCCATGCCTCGATGCCAGCCCTGGTGTCAGCTATAGCTAACCCTTTGTCTAGTAGGCGCTTATTAACAACGCTTGAACATCCTGCTGTCGACTGGCCAACGTCCTTCAGAGCACCGCCGTCAAAATACAGAGCTGAATTGAATTTCTAACATAATGCTGAGCAACAGAACTTCCCAAAAATCTATACTCCGTTTCGGGGAAACAGCCACGAAGCATGCACATGCAACGCCAACGCCAACTCAAGAGACCCTGCCTCCACAACGGCGCACGAAAACACTATTCTTCTACCCTGACCAAGCCTTACCAATTCCATCTTGGCTCCCTGAATATAAGTCGTGCGCTCTCAGCTCGTTGCAGACTAGAACGCGGGCGATCAGTCAGAGGCTTTGATTTCCCGCGGGTGGGTTCAGTAATCAACGTCAAACCATGGACCTGGACTTAGCTCTGATGAGGCCTTTCCTCGATGGAGTGCCTGTGTTCGACGATATTGTTCCTGAGAGCAGCAGTAATAGAGACAACGAAGGCATAATTGTTGAAAGGGAAGCACTGCAGACTGTGATGAAGAGCCCGATGCGAGCGGGCCATGTTCAGGAGCGGAATGTGGCTAACCAGGCGAGAGTGCGGCGTGGGCAGAAGGGGTTTGCGAAACTGGGTGGCAAGACAGTCGAAGAGGGTGTTGGTGGGAAGCAAGCCAGATGCAAGGATCGAAAGGCCAGGACGAAGAAGGTCACTTCAGCGAAGGGAACCCCGAGTCCTGCATTGTCGGTCCTCAGCCCTGTGACCGGAGCACCACACACGAATAGTTTCGATCGCGGGAAGAATCAAAGCGAGGTGGCGGAATTGTCACATTACAGTAAGTAACATCTCCCACAACATCTCCCACACCACACCCCATACATTGCATGTAGCTGATACTCGCTCGCCAGTGACGCAAACCCTCTTCACGCACCTCTTCGAAGGCCACAAAGAACGCCACGCCTGGTTCGCCGTCTTCCAAGTCTACCCGATCCTCTTCCACGCCTTCACGCACGCCGCGGCGCTGCACAAGGACGTCCTCCGGAACCAGGTCGCCCTCTCCTGCACGCCGGAATCTCTCTGGCACAAAGGCCACGCGATGATGCTACTCAAGGACGCCCTGGATCATCTCGACGTGGCGAATATCGAGGTCTTGCTGATGGTCATGGTGACGCTTGCGACGCACGATCTTTCGACGGAGCGGTTGTCGAGTGGGGGGAAGATGGGGTTTGTGCCGTATGTGCCGGATGCGTATTGGATGAGTGTTTATGGGCGGTTGGAGACGATTGAGCAGCATCTGGGCGCGATTGGGGGGTTGGTCGGGTTGGTGGGTGGGTTGGGCAAGATTTCGTTGCCGGGGTTGGCGAATTGTTTGGCGCTGTTAGTCCTTTGATTCATTCGTATGTGTTGTGTTTAGAGTTGACTAATTGAACTTCCAGGACCGACATGATGGTCGCAGGCATCGACTGCGTCCCTCCATCCTTCCCCTGTTTCTGGACCCCGGATGCATCGATTCTGGCTTCACACTCCAAACTGCGCTCCTCCAGCGACCAACGACCCGGCAAGGGCTTCTTCGCGGACGTCCCGGGAGGTCTTCCATTGCACACGCTTTCCGTCCTTATGCGTCTCGCCAACATCAATCGGTACATGGCCAAAAACTGCGGCACGGACATGACAGATGATGCCTATCGACGAATGATGAGCACCCGCAACAGTATTCACCATGCTGTCCTATCGTTACCGCTATGGGACGATCTTCCCGAGGCCGAGCGAAACCTATCCAAGACCTGCCAGCAGCCTTTTTACGAGGCGACACGTCTGTCCGCCATAATTTATTCGTGCGCGGTGATCTACGGCCTGCCGCCCCATCGCAACTGGCATCTCAAACTCACGGGCGAGTTGCGGAAGATCATTGAGGGATATACAAATTTCATGGACGAAGCCCCTTATTTACTTCTGTGGGTGCTGTGCGTGGGTGCTCTGGCGGCTCTACGATCCCCCGATCGGATGTCCTTCGAGCAGAAATTAGGCGAGGTCGTGGCGAAGCATGAGGAACTCCGACCCTTCGACAAGGCCCTGGTTGTTCTCGAGGACTTCGTGTGGAGCCAGAGGGCTTGTAAGGATGGCATTGAAAGGCTGTGCAACTCGATATGAGGCTAAAGTGAAGGACTGAGGCTCGACCGCCGCTATTCACTCTTGTCTCTGAGTCTCTGTACCTGCCTATCTAGGTTATGGCCGATGTCGGTCGGATTGACCTCACGTCCCCGCGTTTGGAATAATCTGCTGCCAAGGTAGAGGACATCCATTGGATCATCAGCAGTCAACATTGTTGACATCGCTTGAGTTCCTCTGGTCTTTCGTGGTCTTATCCACTGATCCAACGATGCCGATATTCGATTACAGCAACAAAGTCGTCCTCTTGACCGGTCTCGGCGCCGTTGGAGAGGGATATGGAAATGGCACGGCCATGGCGGCTGCGATGGCGAGACAAGGAGCGATTATCTTTGGTTGTGATATCAACCTCGAAGCTGCCAACAAGGCTGCAGAATTGATCCGCAATGAGGCTGAGGTCAAGAATCATCCGTCTCGAAAAGAGGGCAAGAACGCCGTTGATGTCATCCAGCAATCGACCGTAGGCTTGAACCCTGTTGATGGCTCGGTCTTTGCAGCATTGATAAGTTTGTAGGACGTAACGAAAAGCGATGCCTGTAAAGCATTTGTCGATGCCTGCATGGACAAGCATGGTCGAATAGACGTGTTGGTGAATAACGTTGGTATGCGTCCCCAGAAGAAGTACTCCTCGTCATCTCATCGAGTAATTTGTCGTCTCGAGAAAATGAACTCCAGTGCCCTTGTGTTGTTGTGTCAGACGGCTAACATATGTTCAGGCAAGTCTGAACCAGGTGGACCAGCAGAGCTAAGTGAGGCAGTATGGGACGCTCAAACAGACGTCAACTTGAAGTCCGTCTATTTGATGTGCCACTTGGTACTGCCTATAATGGAGAAGCAAGAGTCTGGCGGGTGCGTCTTGAACGTAGCATCTGTCGCCGGGTTGCGGTATATCGGCAAGCCGCAGGTGGCTTATGCTGCCACGAAAGCCGCCATTATCCAGTTCACCAAGACCACTGCAGTGATATACGCGCAGCGAACTGGAGGTAAAGTTCGGTTGAACACTGTCGTCCCTGGCCTGATCAATTCTCCACTGGTCTCTGTGCTTGCGGACAAGTATGCTGGAGGTGATCAGGAGGGATATCGAAAGACCAGAGACAAGCAGTCACCAACAGGCAAGATGGGTTCCGTCGACGATATCGCGTATGCGGCGTTGTATCTCTGTTCGAAGGAAGCGAAGTATGTGAATGGCCAAGAGATAGTTGTCGATGGTGGCATCACAAATTCGACAGGACAGCCTTGAAATCAAGTCTTTGCCGTTGATCTGACCAGTGTCGAACTGCGATCACTTTTTCAGGGCTTGCTCATCTCAAGAAACTTGGATAGAGAAACGACTTCGTAGCCTTTCTTCTTCATGGCCGGTACCACTTTCTTCAGCATGGGCACTGTCCAAGATCTGCGATCGTGGCAGATGATGACGGCGCCAGGTCGTAGCATACTCAAAATGTGCCATGCATTCAGCCTCCAGACGTTGATAAATGGGTCGTGAGGGTAGATACTGCCGAGAATCGTCCTGTAGCCTGCAGTGGTCGCAACATCCAGAATCCTTCGACTGAACACTCCAGATCCTGGCCTGAAGAAGTGATTCTGCCGATCCCGGCTGGCTTCGCTGTATGCACTGTTGATAAGCCTGTCGACCTCATGGATCTCATCGTCCAAAACGGCGCTGGGTAACGAGATGCTGGGCTCGTCGTGCATGGCATGATTTCCCAATTCGCTTCCCGCTCTGACAATATCGGTCAAGATATGCTCGTCCCCAGGAACCTGACCTCCAATGACAAAGAAAGTCGCGGAAACCTCATTCTCCTTCAATATATCCAGGATCTGATTCGTGTAGATGCTCGGCGTGTCGTCGATGGTAAGCGCAACGATTTTCTTGTCCGTCTGTACCTGGAATAGCACTTCTGGGAATCGATTTTGGAAGTAGCTAATGACGAATTTTGGCGGCTTGTAGATGGTATAGAGCGGGACCACGACCAGGAGAATGATGGCAAAGACGGCCGTTTGGGTCGCCATACGCGTCTTTCGTGCTCTTCGCCGCGTCCAGCGTCCGGGAAGGCGGAAGAACGGCGAGAAGAGAGGCATCACCGCGCCATCGCCAGTTCAATTTCTCTCGGTAGAATTGGTGTCGTTGATTGACCTGCCTCTTTTGATGTTGTTCGTGCCAATGAAAAGGAGGCCGATGTTCCTGACGGCCAGCGGCGGCTTTGACATTCACCCTTGACTCGCGCTAGGAATTGTCCTTCCGTATGCAGTTAATTAAGCGAGCCCGCGCGGTCCCTCTTTCTCTGCCCCACCAGTCGTTGCTGCTGCTGCAGCTGTGTGACAGACATTCATGTTCGCTCGACCATTTCGTCCTGCTTATTTTGGCATCCGCAACACCTCCTTCAAACCAAGATTCAATTCCACCGCTCCTTGGCCGTACATCTACCGCACCACACCTTCGCCCAACATGGCTCCAAACCTCCATACATACTACAAGACGGTCGATTCCCTTGCTGAGCCTTTCATCGATCGACTTCGCCAAGCGGTCGCCATTCCTTCCATTTCTGCCGATGAAGAGAGACGCGAAGATGTGGTCAAGATGGGCATGTTCCTCAAGAGCGAGCTTGAGAAGCTGGGCGCACACGTAGAGGCTCGTCCGTTGGGAAAGCAGCCTCACAAGGAGCACTTGGAACTGCCACCCGCGATCATCGGCCGATACCCTGCGAAGAAGGATGAGAGCAAGCGGACAATCCTGGTCTATGGACACTACGACGTGCAGCCTGCCGACTTGTCAGATGGCTGGGCTACCGAGCCTTTCAAGTTGAGCATTGACGACAAGGGCAGGATGTACGGCCGTGGCAGCACAGACGACAAGGGTCCAGTGTTGGGATGGCTGAATGTTATCCAGTCGCACAAAGAGGCAGGTATCGAGTTTCCAGTGAACCTGCTCATGTGCTTCGAGGGTATGGAGGAATACGGCTCGGAGGGTCTGGACGATTTCATCATCGCAGAATGCAAGCCTGGCAAGTTCTTCGAGGACGCAGACGCAGTATGCATCAGCGACAACTACTGGCTCGGTACAGAAAAGCCATGTCTGACATACGGTCTGCGAGGTTGCAGCTACTACTCTATCGAGATTAGCGGACCAGGCCAGGACCTGCACTCTGGAGTGTTTGGTGGTACTGCACAGGAGCCCATGACTGATCTGGTACGAGTTATGGGGAGTTTGGTGGACACGGACGGCAAGATCCAGATCCCAGGTCTATACGAACTCGTTGCGCCGTTGACGAAAGAAGAGCAGAGTCTCTACAAAGACATTGCATTCACCATGGACAACCTGTACGAATCTCTCGGCAGCAAGACCGGAATCTACCCAGACAAGGAGCGAACACTTATGGGCCGCTGGAGATACCCTTCGTTATCGCTTCACGGTGTCGAGGGTGCATTCTCACAGCCAGGCGCAAAGACGGTCATCCCAGCCAAGGTCACTGGAAAGTTTAGCATCCGTACCGTACCTGATATGGAGCCCCCAGAGGTGGACAAGCTGGTGTTCGCCCATGTCGAGAAGGCGTTTAAGTCGCTGAACTCTCAGAACAAAATGAACGTCTTCCTTCAGCATGCTGGCAAGTGGTGGGTCGCATCGCCCAAGCACTGGAACTTCACTGCCGCTGCCAAGGCTGTTGAGGATGTCTGGAAGGTCAAGCCTGATTTGACCAGAGAGGGTGGCAGCATTCCAGTCACTCTGACATTTGAGCAAGCCACCGGCAAGAACGTGTTGCTTCTGCCAATGGGCAGCTCAACCGACGCCGCCCACTCCATCAACGAGAAGCTCGATCGCCGCAACTACATTGAGGGCATCAAGCTGTTGGGCGCTTACCTGCACTACGTCGCAGAAGAGCCAACGAAGTAATGAGTTCAGTGGCATTGTCGATACCCCTTTACTTCGCAACGCTATTCAAAGACACGAGACGAATCACGACGACGAGCCACGCAGAGCCATGACAAGCAATACCGACGGACGTATGCTCAGAGTGGTTCACGTTGACGAACGTTGACGTGAAAGAATTGGCAAGTTGAGAAGGGAAAATATGCAGGTATTACTGAGTCGTGCAAGACCCAAAAACTACCATTACGTCTTCCAAAACGATATCATTCATGTCGCCATTATCTCGAACGTGATTCGAAAACAAAAGCAAAGGCCATGATGCTGCCGTTGATCGCGCTAAAACTTTACTGTACAGACCACACTAAAAAGGTAAATATGGATGATTTTTCAGACCTGCATGGACCAAACAAGCCCAGCGAAGCTGATTAGGGTATCTTCTTCCCGCATTGTCTTTTCTTTGACTCCTTTGCTCCCCTCTCCCCTTTTTGAAGTGCTTGGACGGAACTTTACATTTACTGCTTGAGAGGGAGGCCGAGGCCGCTGATGAGGCCGGTGACCTGGCCGACTGGGAGGATGTTGAGGAGGCCGGTGACGGTTGAGAGGATGTTCTGGAGACCAAGACCCTGGAGGATGTTGAGGAGACCGCCGAGCTGCGAGGTGATGCCGGTGACTTGGCTGGTGATGGCGTCTGTTTAGGACGATATTAGTGAGTTTGTTCTTGAGATAAAATAGCTGCAGGCGAGCGACTTACCAAGACCAACGAGAGTCTCGACGTTGCCGAGGGTGCCGTTGAGCTCCTCGATGACGGTGGACAGGAGACCAGCAACGTAGGTCTCGGTCTCGCCGGCGACGTTGTCGACGAGGCTGATGGCGCCAGTGGCGGAGACGACGCCCTCGATGGTGGAAACGACGGTGTCGAGAGTGTCCTGGATGTCGACGGTGACCTGGGCGGAAACACCGGCAGCACCGACACCGACGGTGGTGGCGTCTGTAAGGGTGCAGTCTGGTCAGTTCATCTAGTGCATATCTCCAAGATCCAAGTGCTGGGGCGAGGACGTACTGATCTTGCCCGTCAGGCTGGTGATGTCGGAGACGAGGCCCTCAACGATGGAGACGACCTGGCCAACCTGGCGCTTCTCCTGGGAGATGGCTGGGGCGGCGAGAGCACCGGCGATGAAAGCTGGGACGGCGAAGAGGGAGAACTTCATTGTTGCGAGTGGTGTGGTGGTGGATTAAAATGAGTGACTGGGTCGGATGTAAAAGAGTGAATAGACCGTTAAAGGCGTTTAAAAAGGAGCGTCAAGCTGTACAGAAGCAGGCGTGGATAAGGAGAGAGAGAAGAAGGCGCAGCAGCAGGAGGAGTTGGGGGGCTTTATTGTGTTCGTCCTTGCTCCTGGGTGCTGATACCATCTGGACGGTGTGAGGCGCTATACCGCCCGGTGGGAGATGGTCTTGGGGGAATATGTCGGCGGTGAGTCTTGGAGGGAGGCTTGTTGCAATGCCTCATATAACTGACCCCAGGAAATAGACGATCGACGTGATGGGTAGCTACGACGATCTGGTTTCAAGGTGTGGCCGGTTGTTCAGGAACAGAGACTGCGTTGCTGAGGAAGCGAAGCTGTTCAGCTCTCAATTCGATGAACGATCGTATGCGACAATGGGCTTCTCTCACGGCTCACCATCGATATCCGATAGATGCTGGTTCTGTCATTGTGCCAGCCCCAAACACGATAGGAGAGCAGCCAAGTGAAGTTGCTCTCGTCTAGCGTCCTCGTGCAGCCTGGGGTGCGTGTTCTCGCGGAGGCTAATAGGACATTACACGACACTAGACAAGATACTAGACATGGAGCAGATCGCTCGTGCGCATGAAGTGACGTTCCCCGGTTGTCGCGCCGATACACCGCATTCGTGTTATGTACGTACTCACACCCACGTGGGATTCTATCAATCAGGCTGTTCAATTCATCGCGAGGCACATGTACTCGCACTTTATACTTACATCTCGTTTGCCATCGGGTCACTCGTTGCTCGACGGTATTCGTACTCGCATCGGGCCATCATCTCGCTCCGCCTAGGCAAAGGAGAATCGGGTAGACCACGGCAGTCGTGCTTGGATCAAGGCACTAAATTTCGGTACTTACTGTGAGTGACCCGCCTCCAACATTGCGATGGACGTCATCCCTCCAAGCGGACTTGACGCGGATGAAATCAGCGAATGAAGAGGGAGAGGGTTGTTGGTGTTTGTTATATCGGGCTGTGCGGCCTTGGGGTGAAGTCCTTTCTTCGCGAATGAAGCTGGCCGATAAGATTGCAGAGACCGGCTTGGGCCTGACAGGCTGAGTTTCTGGTCTTGCTCCTGTTGCTAGAGATGTTGTTTTGAGTGGGCGTTGTGTTGTTGGTTGGTGTGTTGGGTCATCGAGAACAATTGACCGGGGTTGTCGCTGCGCGCCCCTTGTTCTTTCCTCACGCAAGTCTTGACACTTTTTTGCTAAAGATAGCAGGTCTCGAGATTTTGTCTTCGATTTCATGAAGGCACACGCGACAAATGTCAAATCAAAGAGAAGACAAAGACATATGAAGCATGGCTGTAAGTTGTCAAATTGGTAAATGTCGCAACTAACTTGAATTGTCTACAACGAGCGACATTGGAAACGATCGTTATCACGTTGTCTCGTTAGACATGACAAGTCGTCTCATAGCTTCGTCAAAATCATGACCTCCAAGGGAACGCACTCCCTCGAAGCATCTTTTTCAACTGCTGCTCACAACCGATGAGCCCCTCGCGGACTTTCCTCGCCGACGAGTTCTTGCTCTTGGACGCCAGCCACTTGGACATTCGAAGACTCTTGCGACCGCCATCACGATCCGCTACTTCCAATCTCTCCATCGGTGTCGGAAAGGGTGCCGATTCTGCATTCGGTGACAGCATGATTGGTATATCTGCTGTTTCCAGCTTCCTATGATTCCGAGCCCGTTTGATCAATGGTGCCAAGGCATCGTCCCAAGTACCGCTTGTGAGCTCCATATCTTCGAGATTCAGCTCCTCAATCGTGCGTCTGTGGGCTTCGACAAAAGCGGCGACGTCAGCTGCCGGCGTTGAGATGTTCTCGACAATGATTCGCTTGAGCTTGGGGAAGTGAAGAGGCCGCGGCCCCCTTGGTCGAGCCTTTGAAGTTGATTGCGCATACGCGGGATGCTCGCCTGTCAAAGGCGCAGATGCTAAGCTAGGACGCTTGACCGGCAGATCCCCTTTGTGGCCAATCCAGCGAAAGTTGAGGCTCTCGAGATTACTCTGGAAATTACGAATATAGGTTTGAAGGAGCTTGAACTGGTCTGGCTCGCAGGTAGCGCCTTCAACTGGAAGAGTATCGACTTGAATGGTAAGGTGGCGGATCCTGGACCATCGGCTGGCTGATCTTGGAGAAGCACCGAAGCCCAAGATAGGCGAAAGGTACATGAGTCCGCCGGGATGAATTGGTGAAAGTGTCAAGCTTTCCAGTGAATTGAGCGAGTTCTTTTCAACCGCGATTCGAAGAGAAATGAGAGCATAGTCGACAATGCTACGCCGGTACCGGTTCCGGACATCGTAGCCAGGGCAGCTGATCTCCAGATGCTCCAGATTGATTAGGGACGAGAAAGCTCGCACAAAGGCAGGTACATTCGTTGCTGCATGGAAGGAAGGCGGGTACTGGCGAGTGAGGATCTCTGTCGTGCCGATGTCCCCATATTTGGGCCGTCTGGGTGAAGATGGCTCATCCACCTGTGGAGTATACGTAAAGCTCAACTCGGCACCAGTATCCGGCTCAATCAACGGCGGGAGAAATGTGTCCGCCGTGTGCGGCAAGTTGAAGTGCAGCGTCTTGACGTAGAACCCCAGCCGGTCCAATGCAGCTAGCCTTGCGGGTCTCGTGAAGATGTTCGTCTTGAAAGTAATGCTGAGGTCGGAGAACAGCGCAGGGCCAGCCCGAACGCTGAAGTCATGACAGGCAAGTCGCAGACTCGCCAGATCACTCTTCGGAAGGAAGGATAAGAATGTCTCTCGACACTTGTCTTCGAGCCAGAACTTGAGGAACGTGCTGCTGTCGCACAGGACGAAGCTGCAGACGGATGCGTAGTTTTCGGAAGCTGTTCAGGTACCTGCGTTAGAGCCATTCGCAATGTCTTCGTATGGTGTGTTGCAGCCGCGCGTACATCGATCGCTACTCAGATCTATCTCTCCGAACAGGAGCCTGCTCCCTCCACTGCGTGTGGTCCCAGCTGACGTGGCCGATGCGGCCGACGAGACGGTTGAAAAGGAAGATGACGGCTTGCTAGCCAGGACATATGGAGACGGTCTGTCCTGCTTGCAACCCATTCTGACTGAAAGAAATCATGGAGCTCGCCCAATGCGTTGTCGAATGAGGCAGTTTCTTCGATCGCGATCGCAACAGCGAGGACGTAGGAACATGTGAAAGAAGAGGATGCGGCGGACTGAGGCATCGCGACGGCACATAGTCTTCAGGACGATTACGTGCCACTCGTCGGCATTGGCCACACTACAGCGACCGTGTAGGAGGCCTGCATGAGAAGTGAGTCACATCTTGCCAACCGGTGGAGGATAGAAGCAGAAGGCCTGGAGTGTTATGCAGGACTAGGAGATGGATGAAAGAGGAAGACACGACTATATCGCGAAAGTAGAACGTTGTAGACGTGATGTTTGGCGGGCGGGCGGAAAGAGGCTGGGTGGGCCGATACACCATGCGTTTCGCTGCGTTTCATCGTCGTGGCAAGCCAATGGGAGGGTCGATCTGGGTAACTTCAGCGCTAAGTAGCTGCAGGAGCTGCAGAGCTGCTTCGAGAAGAGAGCTGTATCCCGGTGAAGGCGGCCAGTAAATCCCGCAGTCGCGTCCTATAAGGATCTTGGCGCGTATTGTCGTGGTAGGCCATGTTTTGGCCATGTTTCCAGAAGCAGGAAAATCGCGATAGAACGTGAAAAGTGAGGTTGTGGCGCTGTCTGTTGGCCATGCGGAACCCTATCTCAACCTCACCTCGTCCGGATTCGGTCAGCCGAGCGAGAAGAATTATACAGCGCGTTGGTACACGATCTTTACGCGACTGTTACGCGTGAATGTTTTGCATTTCGATTCTCTTATGCGCTTGCTACAAGGCCTCACAGCGGAACCAAATGGCACCCCAGCAGTCCTCGTCCTCCCCAGTCTCTGCGTGGCGTCAAGCGAAGATCTCGTGGCTGAGAAGCGGCACCTGGTGACTCGCGCAGTACTTTGACCAATATCTCGTGCTGTGAATATTAGCGTTTGGTAGCCAAACATGCGGCAGTCGTTCTCACATTCTCGTTCTGTTGCACGATGTAGGCCACCTTGCTCAGCCTCTCGTGATTCGACCAGTTGACCCAGCCGAACTTCGTGACCTTGTCTCCAGCTTGAAGTCCAGCCTGTGCTGCTGGACTATCCGGCACAACAGAGTTGACCTTTGCAAATGGCGGCTCAACGACTGGAGCTGCTGATGGCACAGGGCGTGGCTCGGTCGTTGTATTGAGGCGGTGGGCGAGACTTGGTCCGTCCTCTGATGGCTTCGACGATGCAAACTGCTCTTGTACTGCGACCTCAAGCTTCGCCATCAAGGCTTTGTGATCGTTCTTCAACCGTATGATCCTTGCTCTTGTAGTTCGTATCTGGGCAACGTCGATGTCGGCGCGAGGAAATCCGTCAAAAGTCATGAGGGATGTGTTCATGTTTACTCCATGCTGTGAGGTGATGGTCAGTGTCGGTCGTGGATGAGGCAAACCTGGTTCCGACGTACTGAGTCCAACACTGAGCCAAGTGCTGAAAGCTCGGCCTCGAGGTTATCCTTTTGAGCGATGAGCTCTTGGAGCGATCGCTTCGAGTCGGTACCGTTTGCTGTTGGTCGGGATGTCGGGCCAGAGGCCACAGTCGGCGCGTGTAGGTCATCCATTCTGAGGCCCATCGAGGTAGTGACAAGAAGAGAGATGACAGATGATGGAAAAGTCTGTTGACAAACTGAAGGCGGATGTAGGCAGAAAAGCCCCGCGTAAGGTGTCTGCGCTGCTGCGAAGGCTCTGCGGAACAGCACAAGGAGGTCTGCGTATGGTCGAGTTCGACTATCTTCCAGCGCAGTATACCAACTCTCAGGCCAGATGCTCTGTATGAGATGGCAGTTCGAATCTGAATGCGTGCTGTGGTGCATGCGGAGAGCAAACACCTGTGAGGGGATGGCAGTTGACGGACCTGACTCCGCTGGGAGGATCTGCCGCGAAGGTTCACGCCAGCCAACGTGGCAACCAAATCGTCCTCAATCCAAACCTCGCTCTCTTCCTTCCCCTTTCACGCTGCACCGACAAAGCGAACGAATGCACGGCTGGAGGTGGGGGACATGGATTCAATCAGGAGAGCGCCCATCATGGAGCGAGCATTACCATGCCTGCCACGGCATTGGATCAGAATGACGTCCTTGGCCAGTAATCCCCTGGCATCTCATTGGATCCTCATGCTCGCGAGCCTCGATCGTCTTGTTGTCTGCTCGATCTGCCAGTACTTTCTCCACCCCGAACGAGGACAACAGCCTCTTTTCCGTTCGGATCACGCTCGGCTACGCGTTGGACACGTTTTTCATTGGCAGGACTCCTGCGGCATGCTCGCTCGGCACCTTAGCGGTCGCTGTTTGTGTGCTGTGGCGCCGGTGGGCAGGTACAACTGATGATGCTCGAAACATACCGTCATAGTTGCGAATGGACAAGTATTTACATGTAGGTCCTGCTTCCCCCCCTATCCTCCAGTCTTCCTGCACAACAACCCAAGATCCAATTGCCTCACTACATTGATCGCACAAGGCAATCATGGCTTCAAGTGCACCCATTTCCACTGGCTTGGAAAAGCTTCAGAAGACGCTTGATGGTACCGTTGAGGGTGTCAAGGTGGCGGATCTGAGACGCGATACCAAGGACTACCACGATCCCAAGAACCGGCTCACCACCGATTATGGCGTCAAGCAGAACAACACTGGTAAGATATTCAATCCAACGGTGTTGATATGTAAGTGGAATCAATACTAACGACCTTCTTAGATGACTGGCTCAAAGTTGCCTCCGAGGACAAAACTGGCCCAATGCTGATGGAAGACCACGCTGCAAGGGAAAAGATTAACAGATTCGATCACGAGCGTAACCCAGAGAGAGTTGTCCATGCACGAGGAAGTGGTGCTTTTGGCACTTTCAAGCTGCACAAGAGCTTGGAGCAATATACCAGCGCAGGCGTTCTCACCGATACCACCCTCTCCACACCAACCTTCCTCCGATTCTCGACTGTACTCGGCAGTGCTGGCAGCGCAGACACTGTCAGAGACGTGCGTGGCTTTGCAATCAAGCACTACACTCCCGAAGGCAACTGGGATGTGGTCGGAAACAACATCCCAGTGTTCTTCATTCAGGATGCCATCAAGTTTCCAGACGTTATCCACGCCGGCAAACCCGAACCACACAATGCTGTGCCTCAGGCACAGACAGCCCATTCCAATTTTTGGGATTTCTGTTGGCAAGTAGGTAAAATAGAGGGCAAAATTTGTCACATTTGTATTCGAGGTATACCAGCTAACGTTTGTCTTTTGTACTTTAGCACACCGAAGCGACGCACATGTTTATGTGGACCCAATCGGACCGTGCGATCCCCCGATCATACCGCATGATGCAAGGCTTCGGCGTGAACACATACACTCTGACCAACGCAAAGGGAGAGCGGTTCTTCGTCAAGTTCATATGGACGCCTCATCTTGGCGTGCACAGCTTTGTCTGGGATGAGGCATTGAAGCTTGCTGGGCAAGATCCAGATTTCCACCGCAAAGACTTGTGGGAAGCCATCGAGAACAAGGCCTATCCCAAGTGGGACTTCGGCGTGCAAGTCATCCCAGAAGGCGAGGAAGACAAGTTCGAGTTTGATATCCTGGACGCCACCAAGGTCTGGCCAGAGGATCTTGTCCCCATCCAATATGTTGGCGAATTGGAATTGAACCGCAACCCCGATGAGTACTTCACTCAAACGGAGCAGGTTGCTTTCTGCACTGGTCACGTTGTTCCAGGCATTGGCTTCTCGGACGACCCTTTGCTGCAAGGCCGCAACTTCAGCTATCAAGACACCCAGCTGTCTCGCCTTGGTATCAACTTCCAGGAGCTGCCGATCAACCGTCCAGTGTGCCCAGTCATGAACAACAACCGCGATGGTGCAATGAGGCACACGATCACAAAAGGCACTGTCAACTACTGGCCAAATAGATTCGATGCGGCACCTCCAGCCGCTGTCGAGGAGCAACCTTACATTGACTACCCACAACAGGTTGCTGGCATGAAAGCTCGTCTGAGGTCAAAGAAGTTCAGAGAGCACTTCAACCAGGCCCAGCTGTTCTACAACTCGCTTTCCTTGCCCGAGCAGATGCACGTTCAGTTCGCACTCGCTTTCGAACTTGATCACTGCGAAGATCCGATTGTTTACGAGAGGTACGTTGACCGGCTTGTATTTGGGTAAGACCATACTGACACTATTGCTAGAATGAGCCAGCGACTTGCAGATATCGACATCGACCTGGCAAAGAATGTTGCCGAGCTTGTTGGTGCCCAGATTCCTGAAAAGCAAGGCCGTCCAAACCATGGAAAGAAGGCTTCTGGCCTCAGCCAGACCGAGTTCCCCGGCAAGACGCCCACGATTGAGACTCGAAGGATCGCCATTATCATCGCAGATGGCTACGATGCGGCTGCTTATAACGGCATCGTTGCTGCAGCCAAAGCATGTTCGGTAAGTATATCTGAGCCTTCTAGCTGCAGATAAGAGCAGACTAACATGTTTGTAGGCACTGCCATTCACCATCGCCCCAAGACGTACTCCCATCTACGCCGCCGGCGAAAGCAAAGAATCCGGCAAAGGCGTCAAGCCAGACCACCACCTCGAAGGCATGCGCAGCACCATGTTCGACTCCGTCTTCGTGCCAGGCGGCGCCGACTCCATCGCAACCCTCCGCGAGAACGGCCGCGCCCTGCACTGGGTCCGCGAAGCCTTCGCCCACCTAAAAGCCATCGGCGCTGTAGGCGAAGCCGTCGACTTCGTCCGAGACGCGTGCGAACTCCCCGGCGTGGCGTTCAGCACCAGCGATGCCGTCACGGACAGCTACGGCGTTGTGACGGCCGCGAAGGTGAAGCCCGAAAGTTTCAGGGAGACGGTGAAGATGGCCAAGGGCGCGGCGGATTTTGTCGACGCGTACTTTTATGAGATTTCGCAGCATAAGAATTTTGAGCGGGAGATTAAGGGGTTTCCGTTGATGGTGGCTTATTAGATGGAGAAGAAGAGTGTACTTGATAGTGTTCTAATGATACCAATGAGAAAACGCGGACCGTTCGATTCGAAGATTGCAAAAGTCATGATCGGATGCGTGTCCAGTGCGAGACATGCCCGGAGTATCTCATCCATCCTCCCGCTATATGACAATGCAATCTGTTCGGCATAAGCCACACACACATACTAGTAGGAAACCTTTCGCTATCGGTCGATTCATACACTATGTCGTATCTCGCATTCGTTTCCCCCAACAAACGCGTATCGCATCTGCGGATCGATCAATCTGACTCGCCTTCGCACAGAAAGCGAGCCCCATATGTGCCTATAAAGAAACCGAAATCTTCGTGCCACGACTCAACGTCGAATTCAAAGAAAAGTTCCATATGTCTCCGAACAGAGATCTTCGTGTCATGACTCGACGTCGGATCCAAAGAAAAGCAAACTTCTCGGTTCGCATAATGATGACATGGCTTAGAGAATTACTCTTCAGTGTCGACGTGGACGAGTCGGAGGAAGCGAGCTGAGGTGTCGCTGGATTGACTGCTGGATCGTTGCGTCTTGGCGAGTGGCTCGATGGCGGCGGCGAGGGATGGGGTTCGTTGCTCGGTGGTTGATGCTGGAGAGGTTGGGCTTGCGGCTGGGGCAGTCCAGTTGGAGTAGCTGAGGGGAGCGAGGCTCAGGAAGGTGGATTCGCGGCGGGTGGTTGTGTTGGAGTCCATTGCGATTGTATGTGGTGGTTTTCGATGTAGTTTGGTTGAAGTGTGCAAGGGAGTGAAGGGTTGTTCGACGAGGAAGGAACGCTTCGTTCGATATGGATTTGATGTTTGAGATGAGCGCTCAAGTGATGTCTCAGCTGAAGTTTTGAAGTGGTGTGTGAAGTGAAGCCTGGAGCAAGTCTGGACTTGAGAGTCGAAGTGAGGTCTTGAATACGTCTCGAAAGCCTTCTGGAGCGAATGGAATGTGTACTCACCTGAGGCACTTACCTACTCTTTATAAGCCGGCGCAAACCACGCACATGCTCGAATTCGAGCAGACGCCTTATCATCCCAGTTTGCAAGGTCGCAGCCATCGACCTATAAGACTCGCAGACGCCGTCACCATCAGCCATTCCGTACGTCCAGAGTGTGAAGTCACGAAAAGTGAACGGAAGCAGACGCTCTAATCCCGGAAATAAAGACGTAGAGCAACTGTATCGTGCTGATTGACGTCTTGTCACTGGCCCGGCTGGCCTCGGTACTGTAATTTCGTCGATTCGCGGAGAAGCCAGCTGGGGTAAGCTTCTGATGGTGATTTCGATATATGAGTTGTATTCCTTTCAACAACGTCTTTCGTGACGACACCCTGATAGTAGATAGGGACTTGTGGTTCCTACGCAATTGTGGACTGAGTGGCTCGGACCGGATCTGGAACGCTCTGTCCAGACTGCTCTGCCTGTTCGTGATGAAGAAGTCGATCATGCCAATCTCCTGCTGCACCTAGCACACCAAGCTTGAAGCTGCGAGAAAGCTTTGTTAAGTGTGGACGAATGAGCGCCACAGTGCGCGATAAGTGAGAGCTGCTGCGAGGGCGATCTGCCATAGGTCAGCTCGGATGGTTGCGATTGTTCATCAATTCCAAACCGGGCCCGGGAGAGATTCTTCACAAGTAATACTTGCTGAGAAACACCACAGGTATCTGGCTCGTCACATCAGCTTCAGCGTCCTGGTTGAGGATCCCTCGCGTTCGGTGCGACAACACATGTTGCCATCACATCCATCCATCATGGTCGCGCGGCGTTCGTGCCGTGCGCTGCGTCGAGGCGCGATGAAGAGGTCACGAGCGGGAGTCTGGGTGGTTGAATGCGACTTGACAGCTCGGCGGAAGGCTGCACGCAGGACGGCTCATTGCAGTGAGGCGTTTGTCCGTTTGTATATCAATCGCTATTATTCCGTGCATCTGCGGGCATTGGCTGCGGTGGCTGCGGTGCGTCACCGGGTATGGACATGCCGTGCGACTGTGCGACCGACCTGTCAAGGGAGACTGCCGGCACTGTGGGATGTTGCGGTGTGAGGACGCTGCTGTCGAGGCGCGCACAGTACAGGTTGCACAACGCAGCGCAGACGGCCATGACCCGCAATCCGGAGCGTCTTGGGCGGTAAGGAGAGCATCGCAGCGAGGCATGGAAGCCCGGCGCTGGTGAGCGCGAGAGACTTCGCGGGCGAGGTGGTCATTGTCGATGTCGTCGTCGTCGCCGTCGCGAGTCTGGGCAAAACAAATGACGAGTCGTAACGAGGCAAAGCCTCTCCGCCGCTGCCGGCACGGCAATGCACACAGGCGAGAGGTTGGCGGGCTGGGCCGAAGTGCGCCGCAGGGATTGCGCCGGTCGACTTCAGTTTTGCGTTTTGTTGGAGCACACCAACCACAGCTGCCTCTGACTTCTGCCCACCTCATCGCAGGATCAAGCCTGTCCGTCGCCGCGCCTCTCTCCGCACCACGCTTCTGCGCTCGCTGCAGCCACGACGGGTCACATGAGTGCGCGGCTCACCCTCCTCCCGGCCTCGACCACCAGCAGCAGCAGCAGAAGGGTCCGCCGCGCAGTCGACGGCACGTCGTCCGGGGGTGCTGGAGGCCACATTAGCGAGAGCTCGTCGCCGGCATTAGCCTTGGCCCTTGATGCGCCTACCACTCGGGGAATATGGCCCGGGCCTTTCGTGGCGCGAGTCTGCTCTGCGTGAGAGCAGCACAAGGGCTCGCACAAGAGGTAGGTAGCCACAATGTGCTTCTCTGACATGCCTGCTTCGCGTGGCATCGTTGACAACTGCTCCTTGCTTGACTGCGCATACCACCCGTCTGCAACGATTATTCTGAGATGAGCGCACCCGCTTTTTCGACTCCCCAGTATCACCATGCCTAGCATCCGGAATTTGTTTGTGGCCCAGAAACTTATAAAGGAGCGCCGCTGCTCCAAAACCTAGTCTGGACCTTACTTCACTCGACTCTATATCTCGCTTTGTTGGAGTTCTTGTTGCATCACCTCACATCATCTTGAAGCCTGTCTGCAGAGACTACAGGTACGTCTGCGAGCTCCCTCACGCATCTTCGCCCCCAGCTAACCCACACGTAGATCAACTACCCCAGAACAGCAGCAACAATGTGCACTCAAGTCACCCACGAGTATTCTTGCAGGCACAGGGTCGTCGAGAAAATCCCATGCGCCAACTCCCGTCGAACCACTTGCAACAACATCAGCCAGCGCACGGTGGTCCACCATCAAAAGTGTCCCAGATGTGGTGGAGGATGACATGGTAAGTGAGTGCTCGAACATCCCTACAGCCTTATCTCCTGACGGTTGTATCCCAGCCTTCGGTCCTGCTTGTCCGCGTTTACGCCTGCGTATTACATGTTTATGACTGGGAAACGGCACTGGCTGCCATGGCGTTAGGTTTGGCACGGCGTGGGAAAGACGGTAATGTCTCGCGACAGGGAGATATGCAACACTGTGAAATGTTGTACTATAGACATAAGGGCGAGCTCTTGTGAGGCTCCAGACCACGCGCTCATTCAGCAACGACCAGACTTTGTATGCAGTCTCACATCAAAATTGAGAACAGCAATCACTATCACCGGCTCTCAAGTCCACAACGTTGTACGAGCCTGCACAAGACATCGAATGACCGTGTTCCATGGCAAACAAATCCGCTTCTGCCGTTCTTCCATATCAAGAGCCAACAGGCTTTGGATCTGCCGCAGGGGACAACGCCCAGCCAGAGCTACCAGGATGTTAGTCAGCCGCTGCAGGCCGCCGCATCATGTCCACTCCAAACCACTCTGCACGTCACGATCCTGGTCCACAAGCCCCCGTTTGAATCAGGACAAGACCGCTATGTCCTTGATACCCGATGCCGACCAAAGCCTACGTGCGAGGTACTGTAAGCCGAGCAACATCCGGAAGAAGGCCAAAGTGTCTTGATCCCGGCCAACGAGTAAGGCGAGCGATGCACTGCACGGCAAACCAGTCCAAACGGTGATGATCGCAAGTGATTCCGAGATCGGCCGTAATGTTTGTGCCAGCTCCAGATACTCAGCGGACCAGCTTGACGAGGTCATTCTCAGAGACGGGCCGTTTCGATCGAGAGACTTGAGGCGTGATGAGACAGAAGTTCGTGTTGTTCATCACCACTTCACGTTTGTGAGATGTGAGAGAGAGAGACACCTCACAGGGCTCCACTCTTCGTGCTACGCCAATCAAGATTAGCGCGCGGCACGGAACGCGCTAATCCCCGAGAGCAACTTCATCCCTTCCTGCTCACCTCTTGCCTCGCTCTCACAACTGACCGCATGACTGCGCGGCATCTTCCAGCAACAAGCACATGTCCGTAGACATCAACTGGGAGACCCTCACTGGAGGCTCTGATGGAGCAGCTCTGGCTGAAACGATCCGGTCATTTGTTCACGAACGGTTCCAGAGCATCCCGCTTCCCAAGCTGATCCGCTCGGTCAGCGTTCACGGGTTTGAATTTGGCAAGGTATGTCCGGACATCGTGCTGAAAGACATCACCGATCCGTTGCCGGACTTCTACGAAACCGACGAAGGCGAAGACGCGCATGCAACAGGCTCTGATGGTGATATTACGAGAGCGGACGTTCAGCCGGACTTCCAACACTCGCAGACCCGGCATGTGAGAGGCGCTGAAGGCTCTCGCCGTCTATCAGAGATACAGATTCTGGACCGCGCAAGCACCACTGGCCTGACGCGAAATGCTGCACCTGGGGTGCTAGGCACCACATCGAACCTGGGCTACTTTCATCTTCCTCTATCTGCAGGTCTGCCTGGCACCCAGACTCCTCTCGCTGCAGTAGCTGGTGCACATTATGCTACAGGAAATCAGGCGGCCCCAATCAGAGACGGACATCCAGAGTCATTCAGCTCCGCTTCACCAGCGTCCGCGGCTACGCCCACATCATCACATGGCCATACCTACTTTGATCGGCCTGCAGAATCGAACCATTCGGGTCAGGCTGGTCAACCAGAGCCTTCAAACGAACACCAATTTGACCAAAGCCCCGAGGATCTGCAGATCGTATTTCGTGTCACATATTCAGGTGATGTGAGACTCTCGTTGACTGCCGATGTGTTCCTCGATTATCCCATGCCTAGCTTCGTGGGGATACCGCTGAAATTGAGAATCACTGGTCTGGCTTTCGACGGCGTTGGTATCCTGGCGTACATCAAGAAGCGGGCGCACCTTTGCTTTCTTAACCCAGAAGACGCGGATGCACTTGTGGGCGGAGAGCATGGCCTGGACCCTTTCGACGATTCAGGCCACGACGATCATGATGCTTCGAAGCCAGGACGAGTTGGTGGGCTGCTGGAAGACATCAAGATCGAGAGCGAAATGGGTGGCACAGACGGCGGAAAGCAAGTCCTGAAGAACGTGGACAAGATCGAGAAATTCATCCTCGAGCAAGTGCAACGCATTTTCGAGGACGAGTTTGTTTATCCCAGCTTCTGGACTTTCCTGGTCTGATGGCTTGGCCGAGACCGTATGGATGATGAACGACTTTGCATTGCTCGAGTCAAGTCTCGTCTGCGAAAAGTGGAGCACGGCTTTGCGTATGCAGCTACGCGAAAAGCCAGGACGGCTGTTACACAGAATGCCTGTCAACACCTTGCTGGTCTGTGAAACAACAACCCTTGCTTCCGCGGCACCTCTCCCGCTGTCAAAATCATGCTTGTGAGACGATGGGCGGGAACTCCATTGTACAAGGCCAGTCAAGAGAGAATGTCACACTCGAACCTGCCAGTAGCCGGTGTCAACGGAAGTGACGATGCACCACTTTTCACAGTGCGCTACCAATATACGAATCACGCCGTGGGAGTCCACTTGAGTTGGAGGCGAGCCCACAACGTGTGAGACTCTGCGTCGATATCGCCACGGTCGCTATCACGAGGCTCGCTTATCATGTGACAGCATGACTGAATAGTACATTTGCCACCATGCGGAAAAGGTTCTGGATTGAGGCGATATTCGTAATCAACGTCGGAGGACTCGCACTATCTTCGACCTGCACTATCGTCTGCAACAACTGACGGAAAAAATGGCACGATAGCACACTCGCAAGATGCTCGTATAAACTGGGCTGTGCGAGACCATGCACAGCGTGAGTCAGTTCTCTAGATTGTTCATTGACTCTACTGCGGGAGCAGCGTCTATTCAGCGCCATACAAACGTACACATCGTCAAGCCTTTGTGCAGACCATCCACTATCATCCATGTCTACAGCTTAACTGAGCAAGAGGACCGGAGACGACACGTAAGCCCCATCGTGTGCAGAAAGAATTGGTAGTGAGGCCATCGAGAGAAAGGCTCAGCGACAACCAGATCTGATCGGGACAAAGCCGTACTACGTACGAACCTTGCCCTTGAAGCATCTTGTTCGACCGCTGCTACCCGCGTGCTCCTCGCGTGGCATGTTCCAGCCAAGCTGACCAAGTCTCTATCACACACTGTTGACTTACGACCTCTCCAATCGCGCAGGTTCGCGAGATTCGCCTCATGGATGGGTACGTCCACTTCGGTGACTGATCAGCAATGAAGCAAATGCCGCTCTGGAGCATCACATGAGCTCGGTGTTGACTGCCCTGGTCGACGGCATCCCAAACCCTACGCCCGAGCATAGTGCTCACACACAAGACAGGGAAGCTCGATGCATGAAAGACCGAGTCACACAGCTGAAGCGAACTCCAAGGGCTTGCTTGCAACGGACAAGGTCAACCCATTTGATTCTGCTTCAAGGCTGAAATGAACAGACGTTCAGGGTCCAACACGGAAGCTCACTATCAAAGATTTCTTTGCGTTCAGTCAAGCCCTGCCTCAGACTGCACGTGTCAACGAACTCCGGACTCGGCATATCGTCGAACGTATGGGCTAGGTGGGCAGTACTTTCAGGCCCCGGACATTAACAGGGTCTGATCTACAGGCTAAGACCGGCGTATGACTTTGAGACGTACAACTCCAAAAGGATTCAGCCTCTCGGTCTGACCATGGTATCCGACGCTGCTATGGTCTCGGAACTGATATCATGGCTGTGACCATATCGTTTCATTGGAATAATGGCTACCTTGGCGCTCTGACGGGTCTCCCACAAGAGTCTTGCTCATTTGGATGCTAACGAGAATGACACATGCGATAGCGATGGTGTCTGTGGCGATGACAAGATTGGCGTTACTGTGCTGTGATAGTCCCAAGTCATTGCAGTCTGGCCGATTGAAAGGTACGCCTGATGTCCTGCAAAATCGAGAGTCTCTACCCATCTTCCACCCTTCTTCCAAGTTCGAGAGATGCGCTAGCAACTGTCGGTTCACCAGCTTATCAGCTTGATCACCAACACCCTGGGTGGTCATGACTTCTACCCGACATATCCGACCTTATACGACCCGTCGACGCTTTTGCCTCGCGCATCACTCGGCGAAAGTGCCACATCACCAGAGTCGATCCTATGCAGTGCACAGCCCCACGCTCATCATCACGCGCACATGGATAAGCTCCAAAATCGTGCATGAAAGCAGATGCGCCTTTTGGTTAAGGATCACATAGCCTTTCTCACGACTCAGTGCCTTGCATACTCGAAAACAACCACCCGAAACCTACTTCTGACTCGCCATGTGTCCTCGTGGGACACACTTTTGGCAAATTATGAGCGCAGCCTAGGGTTCGGCTTCAGGCCATACCCGAGAGGCCGGTCACGTTGTGTTGGTCACGAACGTGGCGACTGAGTCGGGGTTGCGGGACGGCACAAGGTGTCTGAGGTTATGTTGTGGTGGTGGCTTTATGCTTGTTTCGGTGAACGAGAGCGGTTGAATGTCCGAATGGGTTGCATACGGAACGATCCGGCGACGAAAGGTAAAAGATTCAGACGGTCGAACATGGATATGGAGGTTGGATCTGTGAGAGTTGCTTGAGGTTAAGGCCTTGAATTTCTCGTTTAGTTCGAAGTCTGAAGATTACGATCAGGTGAGTAAAATGGAGTGTACCTTAAGGGATAACTCGAAGTAAGTGGGAAGATAGTTTAAGCCAAGCAATGTTGGCCACACGCCAAATGAACGAATTGAAGCTTTGAAAGAGACTTCGACAGCGGGACAAAGAGTCGAGCTCGTTCGACACCACAGTCCTACTTAGACTGGCAGATGAGCCAACAAAAAGATTGGCAGGTAAAAAGGAGAAGAGTGTGTTTGGGGAAAGCTGACCAGCGGCTTGATTGATCATTTCGCCGTACAGAACGCTCTCATGACCGCATTATACTTACCTCCACCTCGATTGAAGCACTTACCCAACTTCATCAAAGACTCCTGTGACCGTGGTAGCACCCAGGTCTACTTCTGACCATTCGCCTTCGCCTCCTGCTCCTCCTCCAATCGCACCAACTCAGCCTGCGGAATGTCCGTCCACGTATACCCCTCCCTGACACAGCAAGGGCACCGAAGCGCCACGAAAAGCCCCTCGTTCGTCCAATCCTCAAGCTTGAGGATGTCCTCCTCAGAGATGATCGGACTGATCCTGTTGAAGTGCTTGTCGTAGATGCCGCCCGGACGTTGGCAGCTATCGCAGCACGGCTGCTGACGCTGAATCAGAGCGGCGATGGCCCCGGGGTCGCGCCAGATGTGGGAGCCCTGGGAGAGCTCCATCTTGACGGCGTCCATGCGGCCACGGGTGAGGAGGTTGTTTTCCAGGACCCAGAGTTCTTGCGTGCGGATGGCGGTCGAGACGCAGGATTTCGGATACGTCTTCGAGGCGTCGATCTTCTTGCGCAGAGCCTTCTGGTGTTGGGACTGGTTGGCTTCGACCTTTTGGTGCTGGGCTTCTTCGATGGCCTTGATGACGTTGATGTCCAAGCCCAAGGCTCTCATTTGCTTGATCGTTTTGCGGTCGAAGGTGAAAGTGCTGTTGAATGTTGGCACGTTCTGGAGGGGGCACTTGGTGACCTTGGCCTTAGCAACGGATTGAGCAGCCAAGGCGGCGCGAGGGCGACTACCCCTTCTGGAGATGGATCGGAGTGGCTCAGGCTCAACACTGGTCATGCCGAGGCCGATCTCATAAGCAGCTGTCTCACAGATCTCCCTTTCAGTGTTGATACGGAAATCCTCGTCGATGACAATGCCCTCTGCTTGGGCTTTACGCTGGTATTCATTCCACTGGTCACGCATATCCTGAGCCTTGGGACCCCGTAGAAGTGTGGGCCAGAGGGCTTAGACAGAACAGAGAGGAAGATATCGCTGAGATTGGCGGAAGGGTTGACGCGGCACTCACGCTCGGTGTGGCCTTGCGAATGGCACTTGTGGCACTCGCGGAAGAGAGGGTTGCGGCACTCAGATGACAAGTGGCCTTTCATGTTGCACTTGCAGCAGTGCAGGCATGATACGTGGCAGGCGGCCATTGCTGCGCCGTTCTGGCACTCGCCTGACTTGTGGCCGATTGTGTTGCACCAAGCGCAGTAAGGGATCGCGGCGACCTCGGAAGTTGGATTAGACTCGTCCAGGTCCATGGCGACCCAGGTTGGAGTTGGGCTCCATGGTTTGCCAGTCTTGCTGGGACTCTGTGGTGAGGTTGAAGTCTTCTTGGCTCGTGGGTTGTTGTTGGTGCTGTAGGTAGGGACTGCTGGCGTCTGCTGAGCGGCCTTCTGGCTGTTAGGATCCAACCGACAGTCTTTCTTCAAGTGGCCAATCTTGCCGCATAGAGCACAGGTCTTCTTCTGGGCGGTAGTATTGTTGGCAGTCTTGCAGTCCTTCGTGTTGTGAGTGGAGTTTGGGCCATGAGTAGCGCAGTTGAACGACTTCTTCTGGTTGTTGTTTTGGCTCCGCTTGGAGCTACCTCTGTTGTTGTTGCTCATGATGTCAGTAGGAAGCAATGAGTGTGTGTGCTTTTGGTGTTTTCTTTTAGCTGAATAAGAAAGAAAATAGGACAAGGTTCTGTCCAGCAGATACCCAAAAGGAAACACAAATGAAACTGGGGAAGTGAGAGGCTGTGGTGTGTGTGATGGGAGGAAAGGGAAGATTGGACGAACGATGGAGTTCGAGGGGGTTATAAAGGGCCGTGGCGAAGGGCCGTGGCGTTGCTAAAGATAGTCTTTGATGGACTCGAGTCTTTGAACAAAGACAAAGCTCTTGCTTGTGGAGGCGCTGATATAGATTTCTCCGTCATTGTCGTCGCTTTGTCAATTGTGGGTTGACTTCTTGTCGTTGTAGGGGACCGCACGTGATGTTGCATCGGGAAGATTGGTCGATATAACGTAAGCATTCAGATAGTGACGGTGAAGCATGTTGTGGATGTTCTGTGCTGTGCTTGTGGGCCGATAGGCTCGTAGTCATCGATCATCGCGTGTACTAGAATACCCCGAACTCATGCAGCTCTTTGCCTGGTCAATGAATTTGAACACCTGGCACGCTGAGCTGATTGACCGGAGGTACGTGCCTCGAAGACCAGATCCATGGAGGCTCGTAGGGAAAACTTAGAACCCGCGCATAATGGCCGGTATCGACATTTCGACGAGTCTCTCTGACACTCAAAGCTGTATGACTGCAGCAGTAGCGTAGTGACCATCTTTGCAGCAGGTGAAGTCCTAAAGATGGCTGGTGACAACTGGTAAGGGAGAAGGTGAGGTTGCTCTGTATACGCTAGTATTTAGAGTTGCGTGTCGGCCCGCTGAACGCTCGAAATCTTGGCGGCGATGCCGAAAAAAAGTTCCCGCTCAAGACCAGCTTCGAAGTTCTACTTTCCAATTTTCCGAACATCGCCAACATGTCGTACGACTACATCAGAGACTCGCAGAAGCGAAAGCGAAGCCACGGCTCGAAGAAGCCATACAATCCTGCCATGATGTCCGGGGCCCTCCCATCACCAGAGGCGGAACCGGAAGATGTCGAGGAAGAGGCGCAATCCCGAAAGAAGGTCAAGAAAGAGCACAAGAAGAAGCGCAAGAGCAGCGAGGGTGTCAATGGAGACGTGAAGAATGGCGAAGACTCTGTATCTGCGCCTCCAGTCAAGTCGCCAAAGCAGCCTGTGGCGAACGGTGAGCCGTCGCAAGATGGAGGACCTTCGAAGAAAAAGGCCAAGAAGGAAAAGAAAGAAAAGAAAGAAAAGAAAAAGCAAAAGTCTCAAGCCGAGGAGCTTGATGCGCAGGTTGAGCACGACGAGGAAACTGGTGCAGAGGAACAGGTCAATAAAGAGCTGAAGGAAGCGGCCGCAGAAGCTGATGCTGCGGAAGTCGAAGACGATTTCGCTGGGTTTGAATCAGAAGAGGAGAGCCAGGAGAAGGCTGATAATGCGGAGAGGTCGAGTGATAAGGATGATGACGAGGAGCAAGACGAAGACGAGACCGAAGCACCTGCGACGAACGGAGATCTTGGAGTTCCGTCAGACCTTCCATCCGCACTGGGCGTGTCGCTACCCAATACCAAATCGGAGCCTCAAAAGTTTACAGAACTGAATTTGTCTGAACGAACGATGAAGGCTATCCAGGACATGCCATTCGATACCATGACTGAGATTCAACGCCGAGGCATTCCTCCGTTACTTGCTGGTCGAGATGTCCTTGGTGCTGCCAAGACTGGATCCGGAAAGACTTTGGCTTTCCTGATCCCTGCCGTGGAAATGCTACACTCGCTGCGATTCAAGCCTCGCAACGGTACCGGTGTGATCGTGGTGTCTCCAACTCGCGAATTGGCATTGCAGATCTTTGGTGTTGCTCGCGAGTTGATGGTACATCACACGCAAACCTTTGGTATCGTCATCGGAGGAGCCAACCGACGAGCAGAGGCCGAGAAGCTTGCAAAGGGCGTCAACCTGCTTATTGCTACTCCCGGGCGACTCCTTGATCACCTTCAGAATACCCAGGGATTTGTGTTCAAGAATGTCAAGGCTCTCGTAATTGACGAGGCTGATCGTATCTTGGAAGTAGGATTCGAGGACGAAATGCGACAGATTGTCAAGATCCTGCCCAAAGAAGACCGCCAGACCATGCTCTTCTCTGCTACGCAAACTACCAAAGTTGAGGATCTTGCGCGAATATCACTTCGCGCTGGCCCTCTGTACATCAACGTCGACCACGAAGAGGAGCATAGTACCGTTGCTGGTCTCGAGCAGGGTTATGTCATCTGTGAGGCAGACATGCGATTCCGCATGTTGTTCACGTTCTTGAAGCGACACCCACAGAAGAAGATCATCGTCTTCTTCAGCAGCTGTAATTGCGTCAAGTATTACTCTGAGCTGCTGAACTACATTGATCTACCTGTCCTGGACCTCCACGGCAAGCAAAAGCAGCAGAAGCGAACGAATACGTTCTTCGAGTTCTGCAACGCCAAGCGTGGTACTCTGATCTGTACTGACGTGGCTGCTCGAGGTCTTGATATCCCAGCAGTGGACTGGATTGTGCAATTCGATCCTCCTGATGACCCAAGGGACTACATCCACCGCGTTGGACGTACAGCACGAGGCGCCAACGCAAAGGGCAAGAGTTTGATGTTCCTTCAGCCTAGTGAGGTTGGTTTCCTCAACCATCTCAAGGAGGCCAAGGTGCCGCTGGTCGAGTTTGAGATTCCGCCCAAGAAGATCATGGACATCCAGAGCCAACTGGAGATGTTGATCGGCAAGAACTACTATCTCAACAAGGTGAGCATGCTTTCAGTTTTGTCTTATAATCAATTCAGCTAACGTATTCGTGCAGTCCGCAAAGGATGGCTACCGATCATACCTCCAAGCCTACGCTTCGCACTCTCTTCGATCCGTCTTCAACATCCACAACCTCGATCTCAAGAAGGTCGCCAAAGGGTTTGGATTCTCAGTGCCGCCAAAGGTCGATATCAACCTCGGTGCGAGCATGAAGAAGCCGGATAACGCTCGCCGAGCGTATGGCAGTCAACCGAAGCAGAAGTTTCACCAGCGTCGATGATCGACTGCTTTTGATTGCCCGGACTTTCTTTGGGCGACTTGGTTTTCTGCAGGCGCCGCATTAGCGAGGGGTGTTTACGCATGTCGGGATAAAAGGTGTCCATAACAGTACGTATCCTCGTTAAGAGACACGTGGTTCACTTCTGTCTCACTCTAGCACTGTTTCTCAGATAGACTCACTTCCGAACACGCCTTGCTGTGTATCTTATTGCCGCGGCTTGGTCAACCAAGCTGGCTCATGATGAAACAGCGTGTGGTTGTCTTGATGGACCCGAGACACAGGATCAATGCAGCTCATAACACTACCATTTGGCCAACTACTCAATCCTCCGACCTCTCCAGACACCAGAAGCTACTGACAGCAGTCCGACCCATCAACAATGGCACTACTACCAGCCAGGGTCGGTGGCTAGGCTGGTGTCGACTTTTGAAATCGGAACTCCACCGGCCGAGAAGCCGATCCTGTCGCTCAGCACGAAGATCAACCAGGATGGGCGCCCTGCAGTTGAAGATGTTACGCAGGGCAGCTTCGGCGTGTCAACGCCTCCTTCGAGTGCAGAGAAGCGGTCTGACGGTCTGTCCACCAATAAGACTATGCAGTCGTCAGCAAAATCAGAGTCATCGCCAGAACAAGGCATCGGCGATGGAACATCAGAAGCGAGCACCGCATTTCCAACGCCAGATACGACTCCCGAACGGATACCATCATTCTTGCAACCAGAAGTGGCAACAGTCAAGCAGGAGAAACCGAAAGCAGTGAAAATCAACACCAAACCCACCACACAACGCTCAAACAAGAAAGCAGCCCAACACACCGCAGCCCGAGCACAGAGACGAAGACAAAGACAACGTCAAGCAGACGTTCTGTGAAACTCTTTTTCGGGAAAGGATAAAAATTGATCCGGCAACTAGCTCCTTCAATGTGAATGAACTTTTTAAACTTTCCACCTTATCCTCAGTTTAGCTAGACTGGATGTAACTTAGTGTTGACGTCCTTTCGTCCGAGAGGTCTATCTATTTAGTCCACCGCCTTTGGTGGGTAATTGTAGCCAGTCTTATGTATCTTTGACATCCATGTTAGGTCGATTGTTGAGTATTGTGTAACTATCCATCCGCTCGCCACATGTAGAGAAAAGATGCCCTCGTTCCGCAAAATCGTCGGTACGCCTCCTCCCCCTTTCCCAAATCCAAAACCCCCTCACCTACTCACATGTATCTACAGACAAAATCCTCACCTCCAAATACAACAAACCCTTCCCCGTCACCCTATTACCCTCGGCGATAGGCTACTACCTCGGCGTGAAGCAAGGCGAGCGACAGGCGCAGATTTTGATGGAGATTCAGGCGTTGGATCGGGGCGATCATGGGGAGGTGAGGAGGATTGCGGAACATCCTAGGTGATTTTTTGGGGTTTGGTTTTTGGGTTTGGATGGGGCTTGGGGATGGGGATGGGGAGGGCTGAGAGGTGCGTTTGAGGGAGGGCCGAGAGGTGGGCTTGGAGGGAGCTTGCTAGTGGGTTGCAGGGAGGGAGAGAGAGAGATATAGCAGGCTTGGATGCCATTGATGGTGCTCAGATGTCGAGTCCAATCTTATCTCTGCCATTTGTACTCGACATCACAGTGGAAAGGTAGACGATGTGGACATGCAAAGCATAGCATAGCATATAGTTTTTGATAAGGGGGTATTCAAAGCAAAATCCTCAAAAAGATCTAAACGAACATCGCTTTGGCACAATCTAATTTTCCGTGAAAGGAGTTCCACGTTCAGCGCCAGCAGAAAATACAACCAGTAGTCAAATCGACCACTCACTCGTCCACCACCACAAACAAGGACGAACAAATTCAAAATTCCCTCGCCCTGAAGTTTCAAGTCCCTCTCTGAGTTCGTCGGGAAATCTAGATGGTGTGTCATCGCTCATCAAGAAAACCAGAGAGTAGAGAAGAATCAACTCGCATCACTCGTCATCAAAAAGATTTTTCGCTCAATTCATCATTCAAATCATACCGTGATCCCTGCCCCCACTATCCTGAGAAGTCTTACTGCCGCCATTCGCCTTCGGGGTCGAGGTCGCGGTCGCAGCAGCACTGCTGTCTTTCTCAACAGCCTTGTCTTTGTTCCTCCGCTTCAAAGCCGGCACAAGCTTATTCGTGACTTTCTTCTTTTCTTTCTCTTTGACTCGCGCGGCCTCCATTTGTTTTTGGATCTCCAATCGGGCCATTTCCCTTCGTTCGCGGTGCCGGATTTCCTTGTCGTAGCTCGGGAGCGCCGTCGTGCCCGTCGTGTGCTCCGTGTCGCTGCTCACGGCGCTCGAGACGTTGCTGACGCTGGCGCTCGCGGAGGCGACGGGTGACCCGACACTTTGTGGGTAGTTGCGGTTCTGGTAGCTGCCAGCCAAGCTTGAAGATCCTGGGCGTACGGGTTGCCAGTCGCCTTTGGTGGTCCTGATGCTGCCAGAGGGAATGTCCCATGTCAAATTCGATTCAGACTGGAGAGACGTACCGTCAAAACGGCCATGTTCGTCGTCCGTGTCGTCTGACTGGCCTCTCAGCTGCGCCAGTGTGGCCTCGATCGCGGGGTTAGCATCTTCCGGCAGTATTGACGGATCGCTGGCGATCTTGTCTGCCACAACGTCGAAAGGATCTCTGACCGTCCCTCCAGGACTTTTGATGTCGCCTTTTTGCAATTGATTGATGACGTCCTCCCATTGGAAACTGTGAGGACTGTCAGGCCGCTCAGCCCGTTCAGCACGGTTCAAGCACTCCTGCGTCCTTGAGTTGAGCTCTTCACAGAGCTGGTGAAACTCCTTCAAATCGCTTTCTGACTGCTCAATGGCGGCAAGGACATCGTGATGTGTTTTGCCCGGCAGAGCAGCAGAGTCGTCTTTGTTGGATAGCGCGCTGGTCGCCTCGAGCCAGAGATGGATGAGATCCGCGAAAGATCGTGCCTGATCAATCAGATAAGGTAGACTTGGGAAGCCCTCTCGACTACTAGGTGGTAATCGTTGCATAATCGTCATTGGCGTGGTATAGCTCAAGTGCTGCTCTGCACTAACCACACCAGGTCCATATGTCGGTGATGTCGGCGAGTTTGGCCCAAATGTTGTCGAAGTCGAGATTGGTGCTGGCACATAACAGACGTCGTCGATGAATGACTTGAAACTCTCACGGTGCTGAACGAGGAAGGCGTTCATGGGCTCCATCCAAGGCTCTTTCGTTCCAAATGAGGCCATGTTGGCCATCGTCTGCAGTGACTTTGCAATCAAGGTGAATGCTCTTCGTGCGCGAGGTTTGATGTCGTCTGTAAGATGTTAGCTGAGAAGGCATTTTTAAAACTCTTGCTTCCACATACCTATAATAAGACCAAATAGCTTCGGATTCAAGACCGCCGGACAAAAGAACCGCAAGAACAAGAATCCAGAAACACTGCTGTAGCTCACACTCCGCAAGAAGTCACCATATCGATCCTCCGCGCAAGCACGAATATGTCGAAAGATGATCCGCAGCTCAATAGGACATCGAGACTTGTTCGCCACGATTGCCTTCCAAACCTCTTGAGTGAAGAGTAAAAGCCTGCGCCAATTGCGCTCAACTTCGTGCGAAGAGCTCACGCGATTCGGGTCAACTTCGCAGTCGGCGTCCTTGTCGTTGATCTCTTGAAGCTTGGCAGCAAGAGACTCCTCCAGATACTCCTTGCCAACCCGTCGCATGTGCGTGTCGAGACTCTTCGTCAACAAGGTGTTGCCACGGAAGAGCAAGTTCGCCTCCAACGTGGCGTTCTTATTCATGTCGCGAACAATCAACTCGCGATCGCTATTCCCAGCACCACTGCCAAGAGGGTCGTTAGTATCGTTCGAGCCCACTCGCCTGCTATACCGCAGTCGTGTAATCGGGGTCTCTTTGTGTATGCCATCAATCTCCTCTTCTACCAACGCCATAATCCAATCGCCCGCTTTCCCTGAAACCTGGAAGATGTTGAGCAAGCTGTCGCTAAGCCGCTTGAGCTCGCTGGGTATCATTTGTGCAATCTGCAATGTCAAACCGTTCGAAAATCGATGCAATATGTCGCTCAGTTGTCGGTAGTCGCGCGCCATCAAGATGATGCCTTCATCTGCTCGTATCTTTACGAGGATTTCGCCGACTTTCTGTCCATGCATGTTTGTAACCGGCCACCACTTCTCTACCTCTTTCTCTGGCTCGAGTTCCTCCATCTGGATCTCAACCTTTCCGCAGGTGACGTCGAATGCAAGGTTGGTGAAGCCACCCTGCTGTTCATTGTATGTTTCGTGGACATGTCGGCTGTCGTACTGTCCTGGGATGTTTGCCTGCTCTGGAGGCCGCCGTTTCACAATGACACTTGCGTTGTTGAGGACGGGCGGCAGGTCTTGAAACTCGAAGCTCTCGCCCCAGAGAGGATTTAAGCCTTCGAACTTGACGACCGTCTTGCCTCGCGTCTCGTTGTCAAGGAGCACTTCGGCATAGTAGCCGTTCTTGTCCTGCCCTGATGTCGCTTGTTGTCGATTGTAGCCACCACTGAAGCCACTTTCACTGTGTGAGGTGCTCGCGTTTGGGGGTTGCATCTTCGCCTCAACAACCCTCACACTCAGACTGCGCTCCATTCGGAATGTGTACGTCGTGCTGGTCGCAATCATACTCTCCAAGTCGCGATTCCCGTTCAACTCAGCACCCTCGAGCTCTGCATCCAACCGCGGGCCGTATATCGAGGGCATAGTAAAAGCACGAAGCAGGACAAACCAAACTTCGTACAGTACCCTACTTTCAAGACTTAAAAATATGGGCCGTATGAATCCAGGCTGGGCGTGGGTGTAGCTCGAGGTGTACTGAGGGTAGATCGCGATGCAAAAGTCGTTTTCCAGCACGCTGCGATCCAGTCGTTGTATGGCACACCGGCTCAGTTGGCTCAGCTGTACGACCGAAATCAAGGAATTGTCGGCATCGGAATGCAGTTTCAGTTCGCCATTCTCGCGCAGCTGGCCACTGATTCTCCTCCATCGTCGTGCACCCACGCTTTGCATTCTGTAGGTGTTGGGTCGGGTGGAAGGCTGGCCAACGGCGGTCGCGGTGGTATTGCTATACCCGACGTTGGTGTCCCAGTATATCATCTTTCCTATCTTAATGACAGGGTTTTCTTTGGGCATCGCGGCGATCACTGATTTTCGCCGATCGCTTTTGTTGCTACGGTCGCTCGCAGCACGGTCTCGACTCTGCCTGTGCACGGGATTGTTGACTGATGCCCTTCGTTTCGAGTGTTCCGCTATGGTGGAAGGTTTGGACCCCATTTCTGAATCCGGCCGTGGCTCATTACTCGAGATGGAGTATGTGTCCCGCGGCTGCCAGTGAAGTAGCGCCGCAAACCATGCGTCAAAGTCGGATTGCGTTTGGAGTTTGATATGAACCTCATCCGACGTATAGGGGAAAGAGACCTCCAGATAAGGTACGTCACCGTCGACGCTCGAGCGAACTCTTGAACCTCGCAAGTCAGATATCAAAGTCTTGTGCGCGCCTTCACTGCCTCTTGATTCATACATCAAGCTTCCGCTTTCTTCGTGAATGTAGCAGTAACTTTGTGACCAAGGATTGCCGAACCCGCGGCGAAAAACAACATTCCCGCTCATTCGGCCATTCAACGTCTTCATCAAATGCAGTATTCGCCTCGCATTGGCACTCGGCAGTGCCGAAGTGATGGAGTCGATGGTGCTGGTAGAAATGGGCGAGATCGAGCGGTGGGCGGCGTGCACCTCCTGAGGAGGCTGAACGGGTGAACCGAGTGAGGATATTGAGGGAGCAACTGGCTGCTCTACTGAAACCGGCACCGACGCCAGATACTCCGCTCCGCCCTGGTATTTGGGTGACGAGGGCGCATGCACGCTGCCGATTCGATTTCTGTTCTTGGCAAGCAACGCAGTGGGCGACTGCTCTCGCCTGGTCCGATCTTCCAACGTGCGAGTGCGTGGTCTGTGTGCCATGTCGATATCCGGCATGCCGCCCTGCCCATTGCTTCTGCTCTCGCTGTGGCTAAAGTGGGAGGAATTGGAAACGCTCAGGCTGCCGTTCCTGCTGCTCGGTGGGCTGCTGGCCTGGCTCGACCACGTCTCTCGCTCGCGGTGGTCGCGGTCTCTGGCGCGCGTGCGGCTCCTGCTCGAGTTGCTGGGACTGTCTCTGGCGGCGGGGCCGGCGGTAATTGTAGTCGTGGTGTGCGGAATGAAGACGCGCTCGAAACTCATGGTGGTGCTCTCGGGCAGGGTGCTGTGCTCCATTCCCAAGCCGTCGCCTTGGTGTTGGTCGGGTGTTACCGGTCGAATGGTGGTGCCGCTTGCTGTGGTGCTACTCTGGCGCAGGGGCATTGAAGGACGTCGCTCGACGGTGCGCTGTGTCGAGGAGGAGTCGGGTTGTACGGGCCTGTCTTGTTTCTTCTCCTGCGACAGCCACTCATCATACAGCGTGGGCTCCTTGCGCTGCTGGTCCTGGGTCCACCTGTTGCGCCTGCTCTCCTTCTCTACGGCCATGGCATCGCCGGCCTCTGGCTGATGGCTACTCCACACGCCCGAGCGCCGCCTGTGAGATCGGTCGGTCATGGTCGCGGTCGCCCGTCCTCCACGTACACCTGCAGCCCAATCACTCGGCGGTCAGCCTCGCCACCACTCTTGCAAGACGGTGCGGGCTCAGAAGGGCACAGAGCGGTTTGGTGCGGCAGTCGCTGTGCAATGGCGACTCCGGCTCCGCATATCGTAGCGCGGTGAGATGGGGGGTGCGAGGGTGGTGTGGCGACGAGGGCCCCGCGGTGGTGGTATGCGGTGGTGGTGGTGGTGGTGGTGGTGGTGGTGGTGGTGGGATAGGGCTCTGCTACGGGCGAGGCATTGACTGACAAAGCGCACACACAGACAAAGCAGTGGGCGGGCGTTGGTGCAGTGGCCTGGGGCGCTAGGATGGAGTGCAGACAGACGGGCGATTGATGGTGGATTGGGTTGATGCGCTTCGCTCAGGAACCAGGAACGCAACGCACGCCGCAGCGACGCAGCCAGCAAGCTCTGGGTCTGGCGAGCTAATGTGCAGCACGTGCCCTAGGGCAGAGGCAGAGGCAGAGGTGAGATATGGCACGCATTCGGGCACGGGGAGAGTGTTTGCTGATGCTGCTGTTAACCCCGAGTGTGTGATCTGCCCTTCCCACACGCCAGACGCTTCACACAGATTGACGACGCCGCAAGCGAGCCAACAAGACACCAGACACCACACGCAGGCGAGGAGAATTGCTGCGCTGGCACTCGTCCCTCAGCAGTCTCCACCACCACCAAAACCAGCGCCTGCTCGTCCACCACGCCGCAGTAGCGTCGCCGAAAGATCGACGTTCCGGTCTTGGCCCAAACAGCAGACTTCCCGTCCACCCGCGCCGTCTGAGGTTGTTCCATGCAACGGCTATCTCCAAACCTCACCCTCGACATCCGCCATCGCCTCCTAATCCCACGGCGCAGACCTACACAACAATCCGGGAGAACAATCAGACGTCCTCCCAACATCACACGCACAGGCCTCACAACAAGCCCAATCTGATACACGCAGCCCTCTAGAATCACCATCCTTGCCTCCGAGTCATTGGCAAGCACCCCCAATATCCCTCATCCCTGCCACGCAACGCCAGAAACAGCATCAACTGGATCTGACATCACAAAAAGCCCAGCAGCAGCAGCAGCACCGTTCAACACGTCTGTGCTCGCCCCGACCAGCTCTATTACTCTCACCAACGCAAAACAAAACGCCGGAATCACATTTACCATCACACTCGTCATTCTCGAACACCACCATTCAACCCTCCAAAAAAGCACACTCCCCGCCAAATGGTAAAAAGAAACAGACTCAGACCGCCCCAACCCAGCAGCCGGGAACCTCCCCAAGCGCGCCTGCCCAACATCGCCCACCGGCGCGCCGTGGTACCGCAACAGGAACAAGACCAAGCAGAAACCCAACACGTCCGGAGAAAATAACGATGTAATCAATTCTCCGGTAGGTTTGACCAGGCTAGAACGTCTTTGGAAAGAAAGGCATGTCGACCATCGCAATGTCCGTGATGATGAGTGATGAGCTGGAGAAAGACAAAGAAGCACCTCATGCAGTTTTCGATGGGTCATGCAAAGAAAGTGCTTGGTGCCTTGTTCCACGCACGCCTTGAGAGGGCAAAAGTCAATGCGTGACAACTGCCGTGGCACTGTTTCAGACATGTCGTGCGGACGCCACGCACCTTCATCTTGGATGTCGTTATCGAACGATCGAATCAGCCCCCAAGCTGACCAGACTTCGATGTTTCTGTCTCTATATTCATCGTCTGCGCGAGTAACGAGCCATTTGTTTACGACTTTGTTAAGTATAGGGTTTTGATGTGTCTCAGGCTGGCGACACCAACGGAAACCGTAGAGCACCTCGAAAAAGGCAATGCAGACATCCGGTTAGGTCTTTCCAACGGCGAGACAGGGCTGAGAGTCTCAGTCTACCTCGTCAGCCTTATCACACCGTAAATATCAAAAGCGAAGTGACGGAAGAAGTAAAACCACGACTGAACCCTCGACCAACCTCCCCAACCAAGGACTCGATTAAAGCCAATGCGAAAGCTGACGTTGAGTTCTTCAAAGAAGCCCAAACTCAAGGTTGCATTGTTGAACCTGAACTGAGAAGCCGACTCCCTCCTGATACCTTCCAGAACACATCCCAAACATCGCCCTAGTTCGGTACGTTCCTTTGCTAGGCCACCAGCTCTCACCCAGCTATCTCAAGTAAGGCATTGCAGCTACAATGTTCGGTCCCCTCCAACGCTTCGATGCAACCGTTCGAGGTCAGTCAGCTAAGACAAAAGGTACCTCGAGAGACCACAAAAGTAACGTCGTCCATACTACTCTCCTTCTCACATGTTCGGCACCGAGACTTGAATCTCCCTGCAATGCGAACGAGTCGATTTTGTGAGAGAAATGTTGTGTTGTGTTGTGTTTGAGAAAAACTGTCCTGTCTGTCCTGCATATACCCTTTCATTGATGGGATAAAGATAAGATAGATAGAAAAATGGTATCATCAATTCCATAATAAACCCTTCCCCTTCTTCCCCTTCCACTTCCACGTCCAAGCCCAAGACCAAGTTGCTACATGCCCTATTCGACTCTCTCCAATTCTCTCCCAAACGACGACAAGAACCAATAAAAATCAAGAAAGACTCCGCGTTAAGGCATCATCCATATCGACCAGGCCAGGGAGGTAGAGGCCCCCCAAACAACATACTCCAACACCCTTGATAACCAATCAACCCAAATCAACAACAGGCCAAATGTTCCCAAGATCCCCTACAGCTAGTCCAGACTTCTCTTGAATAGATTCGATGTCCATTCTCTCATCAAGAGAGATCTTCTTCTTCTTCTTAAATTCAAGTATTCGTCCGACTCCTCGGCTCATTGCGAACCGAATTCTCATCGCTGACAGGACTCATCCCCGCGCTCCTTCCACTGGAGAGATCGCCACTGGCAGTCTTGCGGAGGGCTTGACGCATCGTCTCAATCGTCAGCTCGCCGTGTTGTGAGCTGGAAGTGCTTCCAATGCCGATGCTCCGGACGGGTGACTGGTCGGCATGTGTTGAACTCAGAGGGTGATTGATTCCGGCACCGGGTGGTGGCGTGGAGAGACCGCTGCTTAGGGTGTGACTGTGCGTTGAGTTTGGCGAGCGTGGTGAGCGTAGGGGTGATGCCGCACGTTCTGGAAGACCGGCTGTTGAGGGAAGGTTGGCGATGTGGAGGCTATCTCTGCTTCCAACTTCCCCCAGCGATGACGCGGCCATTTGTTGGTGTTCGCTGTGGACGATGTCCTTGAACGAGATGAAACTCAATCTCCGCACATCGTTAGGATCCAGCTGGCCATAGTTGCTCGCACTGTCGTCCTCCGCGCCAGGCGCAAGCGCAGCCTGATGTAAATTGAGACTCGACGCCATTTCGCTCTCCTCAGACTTCTGCTGCAAAAGCGCCGGCGGCGAATTCAGCGACGTCAAATCCGCATGACTGGCCGAAGGCTCCAACACCGTCGCAGCAGGCTGATGCGAAGAAGAGGTCACAATCTCGACCTCATCGGGGTTCAATGACTCGCTCGTGATCGCCTGCGCCGAAGCCTCCAATGCCGGCGGGATCGAGTCCTCGGTGATGACATGCGAAGGGATATGCGCGGGACTCAATTCATTCCCCAGAGTGCTAATCGGCACAGGTTCCTGGACATTGCGTTCAAAGATCTCGGACGAAGCCGGGCTGTGTAGCCTAGGCGAAGCTGATCGTAACCGTGACGGCGACGCCGCGACGGCAGGCTGATACGGGAGGCGCGAGGGTGATACAGGAACAGGCTGCGCGGTGGGCTTGAGGTCAGGCTGTTGTTGCTGTTGCAATTGCGATTGTTTCTGCGCCGAGGCGACAGCACCGGGCTGTGTGGGCGGCGCTGCAGCTGGCGCGTCCATGGCTGATGATGATTGTTGCTTCTCCTCTTTCTTCTTGCCCAAACCAAACAGCGGCAATCTCTTCTTCTTAGGATCCTTCTCGTCGGTCGTCGTCGTCGTCGTCGTCGCAGCAGCAGGAGAAGAAGAAGACGCAGCGGCAGTAGTATTCCCCGCCTGTCGCAAGTCCTGTCGTTGGCGCTCCGAGATCAGCGGCGTCGAGGAATTGTGCGGCGAGATGGAGCGATTCGCAGACGTGTTCGAGTCCAATGGTTGCTGCATATCACCGGGAATCGCGCAGCATAGTACTGAGACGGGTCGACTTCGTTTTCCCCAAAATAACGCACCGCAGCCAAATTGTTGGAAAGTCAAGGTCGAGGCAAGCTCGGGATAGCAAGCAAGCCGGCAAGCAAGTTGAGATGCAGCGAGACCCTGGATCTTCCCTAATTCGCGGCTGCTGGCGGGGGGACAAGGATATGACGGAGTTCAAACAACAACACCACCAGACATAATCCAAAATTGTCGGCGGCGGCTGAGTGGGCGGTGTCGGTGGTAATGAGGAGAAGAAGGCCAGCTAAACCAAAACTCCCAACACGAACGAGGCCCAGTGGAGAACAGAGATCAAACTGCTGCTGCTCTTGCTCTCCGACAGCGTGACCATTCGCCGTGTCACCTGCACAATGACGATTGGCTGGAGCCAAAAAACCAGCGCCCTTCCTTCTCCTCTCCCTTTCACAGCACTCGCCATCTCCCAATCTCATCACCAGGGACCACCGCCAACATGAAACGTCCCACGCGCGTTTGATCGTCACGTTTCGCCTTGCGAGGCGCTGGTGATACTGCCATTGCCGCCGCGCTCTGACGTTATTGTTATCGTCGGCACTGCCGTCGTGGCTGCTGTTGCTGCTGCGGTATCCTTGGGCGTGAACAGTTCTGCCGATAAGACGATCAGGCTGGGCATTATACACGCTGCACCGACGCTCTTTTTCGTTGTGTTGAAGAGCGCCAATGGATGTTTCTCTGATTTGAGGGGCGGTGCCGTTGTCGTCGTCGTGGTCGTTGGTTTGGATGGCTTGCGGATGTAGGAGAGGCTGTAGAGAGTGCTGGACATGTCTGTTCCTTTAGGTTTTGATTTGTTGATTGCGCTTTTGCTATGGCAATGGCTGGAGTTCTTATCTTCTCTGCTCGGTTCCATCTTTCTAACCGCAGCAATTGATCATTTTCAAAGCCATCCTTCAACCGCCCGACCTGAGAGTCTCAGCTCGGCTCAGCCTCCTCCTGCACGACATAGTAGTCACAAACATAGCAAACGCCTGATCCTGCAGTCACCATTGCGTTACCAGGGACATTGCTCGTTTTCGGTCGAGCTCAAAAATGCCATTGGATTCATGAGAAACTGTCGTATCCCATTTCAAGTCGTCTACCCTTTTGACAAGGCGCCGCGACGCTCATGCTAACCGATCGCTCAAACGCAAGTGTACCCTAGTGAACCCCCCTCGCTTCACTTCACCTGATTCCATCCAATGTATCTTCACACCTCTACGCAAAAGCCTTGGAGTAGGCCTTCTTCTCCTTCTCCTTCCGCGCCGCAGCGGACTTCTTCGCCGATGCCAGCTCGTTCTTCACTCCAGCATCGTTTGGCACCAGCTTCGCGGCCTGCTCTAGGTTCTCAATCGCACCCTCCTCGTCCTTGGCCGCCTTCAATGCCAGACCCTTTCGGTACAGCGCCTTGCCCTTCTCCGCGTCCGTGATGCCTGACACCGCAAGGGCCTTGTCCGCCGACTCCAGCGACTCGCGGTAGTGGGTGAGCTTGAATTGCAGAAGAGAGCTGTTGGTGTGCAGCGAGATCTTGAGCTTGCTCAGCTTCTCTCCCAGATCCTTGGGATCGTTCTCCAGCGGCTCGGGGTACTCGTGGAGGTAACGCAGCGCCTTTTGGTACTTGCTCAGACCCAGCTCCAGATCGCCCTCTTTGAACGCCTTGTTGCCCATGCTCTTCAGGTCATCCACGATCGCAACGACCTCGGTGCCCTTCCACTCCTCCTCTCCAGGCTTCTGATCCTCTGGGAAGTCCTCATATGAATCGCCAGTCTTGTCCGCCTTCTTCTTGGTGAGCTCTGAGATGTCCGCGTCTGGTGGCAGCTCGCCGCAGTCCTCAATAACGCAGTCCTTCTCTGGCTTGTCGTTGGGGCCGGTAGCTATGTTCTCCACTTGTCGAACCACACTCTTGCCAGCGATCACTTCACCAAACACCACGTGCTTGCCGTCGAGGTGGGGAGTTGGAACAGTTGTGACGAAAAATTGGCTTCCGTTTGTCGCAGGGCCAGCGTTAGCCATGGACAGCAGGAATGGCTTGTCGTGCTTCAGGTCGAAGTTCTCATCCTCAAACTTCTCGCCGTAGATGCTCTCACCGCCAGTACCATTGCCGGCTGTGAAGTCTCCACCTTGGATCATGAAGGACTTGATGACACGGTGGAAGGCGCTGCCCTTGTAGTGAAGCTTCTTGCCGGCCTTGCCCTCGCCCTTCTCGCCGGTACACAAAGCGCGGAAGTTGTCTGCCGTCTTGGGCACGACATCATTGTAGAGTTCGAAGACGACCTTGCCAGCTGAGACGCCGCCAATCGAGATGTCGAAGAAGACGCGGGAGCGGTTGTTGGCAGCCATGTTGGGCGAAGTGTTCGATGAAGGCGACTGGGTGGAGTTGGCTTGAGTGCGTGTGATTTGTGTGATTGTTGGCGGTGTTTGTTTGCGAAAAGTAAACGAAAGCTGAGAGACCTGAGCTCGAATGTTCTACAGAATCCACCCCGCAAAATAGTGGGGCACGAGCGGTCTTGGCAGGCACGGCGATCAAGTGAAGTGAAAGTGAAGTCAAGGCAACGATGCAATCACGAGGCGTGATCAAGAAGCCTCAGAGCAGAGCATGTGAGCTCGACCATGCTTCTCTTAGCGTCGTCCTCCTCTTGCTGCAATGGGGATCGTGGAGTTCTTGAACGTTTGGATCCTTCACTCTTACCAGCATCGTCAAATGAATTGCTGTTGGTGATCAAAGTAGCATCCAATTTTATTCCAACATCTTAGGTTCGATAAGTCATGCTTTTGATAGGACATCGTCGTCTCCTTCGCCGTGGTGCAATCCGAACCTTCATAATCTCCGTACTGAAACAGGTCTGCCCAGAAATCCAAGGGTGAGGTCTAAACTTCTCTTCGTCAAGTCAAGCCAGCAAACCACCTCTAATCTAGTCCAAGCGCTGAGAGGCTCTTGATCCTCAGCGATACCTGTCGAAATGTATCTATCGTCTACTTCTTCGTCTGATGCGCCTCGTGTGCATGCGCAGGTGTTTGCGTCGCGCCGAGGTTGACATCGTTGTGTCCGCCATTCGCGACGGGATGTTGATGTGGTTCCGCATACTGTACGGGGGCTGGATGATGCTCGGTGACATGTGCGGGCTCGGGCTTGGCGTCGAGCAATGGTTCGGTGTCGTACTCGCTGTCTGTCATCTTCTTGAAGGTGTCCCAGGTGGTGACAGCGCCCAACGCGCGCTTCATATGTGCGTTAACAATTTGAAGGCCGTAGACGTAGGATGCGTTGACCCAGCCGAAGCTATCAAAAAGTCAGCAAGACGTCAGACTGCATTGATTCATAAAACTCACCCTTCGGTCGCCACACCCTTGAAGTCACCACCTTGATTGCCGTACTCGGCTGTGACCTTGTGGGGATCGACTTGCCGTGTCACATCATACTTCTCAACCACAACACCGTTGAAGTCGACGAATGCCTTGGTGACCATGTAGATCCAGCGGTATGCCAATCGCTGCGCTTCTTCCTCAAACCCGTACCGGAGAAAGCCAGTCCAGGCGAGGATTTGTTGTGGAGCCCAGCCGAATGGGTAGTCCCACTGACGATTCGGACGATGCACACCAACAGGTCCACGGCTCTCTTCTGTTCCACTAACCAGACCTCCATGGACTTCGAACTTGGGGAGAGCCTTCTGCACCATGAGCGAGGCTTGACGAGGAGTGGCAGCGCCTGCCCACATGGCCCAGAATGTGGTAGCACTTTCGTAGCCGGTGTATGCCTTTTTCACAGTATTGTAGTCAAAGAACATGCCTTTCTCCTCATCCCACATGAGCTTGTCCATCTGCTGGCGGCGCTTCTTGGCCTTGCGGTCCCATGTCGAAGAAGTCTCAAACTCGGGATGCCCTGGAAGATGCCATTCCTTTGGTATCTCAAGCCTGTCGCCAAAGAAAGCACGAATGGTGCGAGCAATATCACACTCGTACTTGTATAGGCACGAATTGAGATCGACCGTAGCCAGGTGAGCAGCGACTCGCTCCAGCCGATACGACGTGTCATGACCAGACTCACGGACTGCGCGGTCGTGCAGGAAGTATTCGTCCAGCTCCGGTTCGTAGACATGGCCATAGTTGTATGCATGGACAAAATCATGGAAGCTCATGCCGTGCTTCTCAGCATAAGGCGCCAGGATATGAACGAAATGGGAAGCCTCTGTCTCCGGAGGTACGCCGAGACCGCCTGGCACATATCTCGAAAGACCAGACTCTTCGTCGTATCGCGGCTTCGACATCCATGTTGCATAGTAGTCCTTGATGGCGGCAAGAATGGCGTCTCGCAGGAAGTTGAGGCTGTTGGGTCTGTGCTTGATGCGGTCGTACACTCGGAGTGCCATGTCAGTGAGAAACGGCGGCTGTGATCGGCGCAGGTAGTATGAGCGATTGGCGTTGAGGATCTTGCCGTAGTGGCGAATGCAGAAGCAGAAGTGCTTGACCATCGCCTCGCAGAGATCCTCACGGCCATTCACCAGCAGACCTAGTGTTTCCATGTAGCTGTCCCAACCGTAAAGTTCGTTGAAACGGCCACCAGGAACAACAAATGGCAGGCCCTTGTAATCCGGTTCACCATCAGGTGTGTCTTGCACGCGCTCCATGGCAACCGCCAACAGGCCTGGCGCATTGTTGAGGTCGCGAACATACTCATCGTCGTCAGGACCGCCTTCTTTCAGCCATTGAACATCGAGTCTTATCTCTGGATGCTCCTTGGCGATGCGAGTGTAGTATTGGTGTTGTTCTGGAGCACCTGACGGTATGTAGATACGAGGCCGTGGGTCTGATGTCCAGTCCTTGGGGTCTCTGGCGACAGACGAGATGTTGGACCCATCGATGCGTCTGGTGAGGTTCGGCCAAAACTGGTCCTTGATAAGGCGAGCCAGTCGATTGACGGGGTTCTCATTCAAGCGTGCCTCGTCGAGTACGATCTGCTTACGTCCATACTTCTGAGCCAGACAGAGCTCCTGCAAGAGGTTGCTGAGCATGTACGTGCCCCGCACATCGAAGCGGCGGTATCCTCCAGATGCAGCCGTTCCCAGCTCGATCGTCTTGGGTCCCGTATCCTCGATCGTGATCTGAACGTTGTGGTCGGTGTCCTCGCGCTTCAAGAGGGTCTTCAAGGTCTCATCGACATTGATAAGGTATCTGCGCGGGGCATTACCCTGTGCATCTGCGACTCAATGTCAGCCATTGTGTAGCTTTGCGATGTGGTGTGACTTACCATGACTCGTTCGCCGGGCTGGCGTCTTGTATGTACCAGCTACCGTGTTACGGGCAGGATCGATCTGTGTTTCATTCTCAGTCAGCGACCTCGCTGCTGGCAGTGACCATCTCTTAGAATAGGGCCGTGGATCGTATGGCGAGCGAGGGGTCGTGGGACTCAGTGGAGGGCTTACCGCAGAGTATGTGCGGCTTTTGGCAGCCTTTCTAGGGCTGTGACTGGTGCCATAGTAAACATTGGGAGCGGCGAAGGGGTCGGTGTCCAGCGAGACCTTGACCTCGCCGTTCTGGTTCTGAATAGATGGCGACTTGTCGGTCTTGGGTGGATGGATAGGGAGGGCCGATTTCTGCGAGCTCATGCTCTGGCGGCGGGGAACAGGCGTCGAGCAAGTGTTTGGTAGAAGAGTCAGGACGAGGGGCAAGCGAAAGATGTTTTGATGCTTGTCAGGGTCGGCGAGCTATGATGTACGGCCACGAGGGGCGGCAGCGGGAGAGGGTCAACTGCGGCTCGGACAGTGCTGATGCTCCACTTGGCCGGAAGTCTGATGTGCAGTGACGTTGATTGGCAGCAGGCAAGGATATCGCGTCGCGAGCGGTGGTGGAATCTTAGCAGGAAGAGTCGCACAGATAAGGTGTTGGGGAGAGATTTTGCTGGAGAGATGGCTGATGTCGGGCGTCAGGCTTCGAGATCCAGGCAGCCGAGACAGCGACGACGTGACGGCGGCAGGAAGGCGTTGTCGCGAATGCTGGTGTGAAGAGGGTGAATCGAGAAGGCTCATGAGGAAACGGCAGTCGTGAAGATTGCTCGAGATGGCCACAGCAACGGCAGTTTGTGAGCTGGCGGTGCTGGCGGTGTGAGGTGCAGGCCAGGAGCCATCACGATTGTTGGGACGGAATGCGACTGCATCTTCAAACCCTCTTTGTCTGCGTCAGTGCAACGCTGCATACACACATGTACTTCCCAATGCTTTCACATGCGTGCACCCGCACCGGCGACTCATGTACAGTACCGATGTGTAGGAGGTAGGAAGAAGAGGAAGCACATGAACGCCTCAAGCCTTTGGGGAAGCCCACGCCGCTGCAGCCGTTGAAGACGATCGATTGATGATCTGTCCTGTGACTGCAGCTGCTTCTGCCATTCGCCAGCAACAGGTCAACAACCACGCCATGAGACACTACCCAAGTTGGTACCGCCAGGACGTGTGAGCTTGCAGTCAGCTCGCCTGCGTGCAGAGTTGCATGCACCAGAGTTGTGACCTTCACCTGCTTCTTGAGATCACGATCCGCCGATTGTGAAGACATTGTACCAGTACATGAGCTTTTGTGCTCAGTACTCGCTGAGTCCGTTCAACGATAGCTGCTGGAGTAGGGTATTCCACTCTGTTCTAGTTGACAGAATCGTCACTTATTTGGGGTGAACATACCGACGAATGCTTATCAAAAGCTCTTGGAGAACATATTGCAACATGAGCAGGACGAGCTTGGTAGCGGGGTGAGTGGAGAATTCACGCCCTTTGACATGTCTTTCATCAATTTTATGAGTACAAGTAGATCTATCAGCTTTAAGACGAAGTAACAACGTAATGCTCTCTCTATACTTTCTTACACAATGCTCTGCGTATAGGTAAAGCGTTGGCGGTCAAGTTCCTTAACCATCTCCTCGCTCAGCGCCTCCCTAGGAGGTTCTCGCATCTGAAAGATGCTGAAGACACAAATGCATTAGCTGAGAAGAACGCAGCTAATCTGATACTGATAGCACTCACCCACAGAAGTACCCCCTCACCGCATTGCTTAACCAGATAGTCTCCCCATCCACGAGACTGTCGATGGAGATAGCGCCTTCCACCGCAAGACCATTCTCCAAAGCCCAACGCCGAGTCGTGCCTTGAAGTCCGCCAACCGACGACGAGGGAGTGACCCAACACCCTTCGCGGAATAGATACGGGGTGCAAATCGATCCGTCGAGTATCTCCTGGCTAGGCGTGTAAAGCAAGACTTCTTTTGGGGTCATGTAGTCCATGATGCCAGCTGCTCCTCGAGCTCGGCCGTACGCACATCGATCGCTAGTCTTGAACATTGTGCCTTCTCCAGGCTCGGTCGGCTGTACATCCAGTACGATCGTCCATTCCGGCTTCTCGTGGCCTTCCGGTGATCTGGTGAAGGATTTGGGGAAGAGAGCGCTCATGGGCACACTTTTGAGAGGGTGGTTGATCTGCGTACTCATCTTGCCTCCAACAAACGCCCTCAGCCGAACGCGCAGAGCCTCTGGTCTCTCTCCAGGGTGGTCTTCATGCCATTTCTTGATTGCATTCATCAAGACTTGCAGTAAAACAGCAGGACCTCCCGAATTCGGCCGAGGTCTGTCATCAGTGAAGAAGAAAGTGCTCCATTTGGCCACTTGGAGTCGAGTCCAATGGTGTTCCAGCATGTAGAAGGGGCAGGGCTTGTTGCATGATGCCGCGGTATTTTGTTCGGAGTTCACCAGTCTCCGGTCGTAACGTATACTGGTGTACACATATTGGTCCCGCTCGTCTTCTTGGGAGGTGCCGCCATTGAAGTGGCCGCTCATCGTCAGAGCATTTCACGTAGGAGGAAAGTATCGATGAACTCGAGCTGGTCAGCTCATATACAAACAAGAAGCATTCCCCAATGAAGAAGCAGTAAACACGGAATATAGGAGAAGGTCACCCAGTCATACATACCTTAAGAACGCCGGGGCCAACACCGATGACTCCAAATTGTCTTACTAAACGCAGGGCCAACGATCGTCAGTGGAACTTGGGAGAAGTCGAGGGTGCGCACCGTCTGGCTGCAGTCATCGCCATGTGCTCGCGTCCACGCCGTGGTCGGTGGAACAGCTGACCTGTTGGCGGAGGATGGCACGGCGGAAAAAGTTGACCCGCAAACACACGACGGCGCGCCACAGAAATGAAGTCACCGAGAGGCTGCGGCTGGCTTTTGCCGAAGCGTGAGGCGCAAACCTTACTCTGGCTCCAGTTTCTCGTGCAAGTCCATCAAACATTGAGACGGCGCGTCTCCCATCTCTCCTTTGCGACCAAGTTCTCTGATTCCATCGCCCGCCCCTGCCATCCACGCCCACATCGACGTCTCTTTGGACTTGGGTGACTGTATCACATCATGGCGTCTCAGCCCAGCCCCGCGGCCGCTGTCGAGGCCGTCGAGGGAGCTGCGCACTCTGCGGCTCAGTCCAGCTCATCGTTCTTGGATCGCGTGACGTCCTGGTATCAGGACAACAAGGTCGTGGCATGGACGATCGCTGGTGTTACGGTCGTTGTCGCCGGCGGCACAATCTACTACCTCTCCTCGTCGCCCAAGCAGCCGTCAGACTCGGACAAGAAACCCAAGAAGCGAAAAGCGAAGAAGGATGCGCCCAAGACCGCAGACGAACCCAAAGCCGAGCCGAAAGCTGCCCCCAAGTCTGCTGTTGTAGATGATCCCGAAGAGCTTCCAGAGGTGACGGAGGAGTCTGTAAAGTCGTTATCAGAGCAAGAGCGGAAAGACTACGCGGCGAAGCTCAAGGCGGCTGGCAACAAGGCATATGGCAGCAAGGACTACAACCGTGCGATCGATCTCTACACTCAAGCTATTCTCTGCAAGGCGGACCCCGTCTTCTACTCCAACCGTGCTGCCTGCTGGAATGCCATGAGCAACTGGCCCAAGGTCATTGAGGATACTACTGCGGCTATCAACCTGGACAGCGAATACGTAAAGGCATTGAACCGAAGGGCAAACGCTTATGAACAGGAGGGCAGATATAGCGAAGCCCTGCTCGACTATACCGCCAGCTGCATCATCGACCAGTTCCGCAACGAATCATCGGCGCAAGCGGTTGAGCGACTACTCAAGAAAGTCGCGGAGACTAAGGCAAAGAAGATCATGGAAGGAAAAGAGAAGAGGCTGCCATCGCCCACGTTTGTCTCCAACTACCTGCAATCGTTCCGTGCCAAACCTCTACCTGAAGGACTTGAAGAGACTGCAGATCTTCCAGAGGGTAGTGGAAAGTGGCACGTGAGGAAAGGACTTTTGGCCATCAAGCAGCGTACTGGAGAGGGCTACACCGAGGCAGCTGAGAGCTTCGACAAGGCCATTGAACAAGGTGGCTTGGAGAAGCATGAAGCTTTGGCATACAACATGCGTGGTACATTCCGTTACTTGAAGGGTGACAACGACACTGCTCTCGAGGATTTGAACAAGGCGATCGAACTGGACCCAACTCTTGTGCAGAGCTATGTCAAGCGCGCGAGCATGCACTTGGAGCAGAGTAGGATTCACCGCACTCGTTCACATTTGTTTTAGTCACTGACCACTTCCCCAGGTAACCGTGAAGCCGCCGCACAAGACTTTGAACTCGCGTCTCAACACAACGCCAGTGACCCCGACGTCTACTACCACCGTGCACAGCTCCACTTCATCCTCTCCGAATTCAGCAACGCGGCCACCGACTACCAGAAATCGATGGACCTGGACAAGGACTTCATCTTCTCACACATCCAACTCGGTGTCACACAGTACAAGATGGGTTCGATAGCTAGCAGTATGGCGACGTTCAGACGCTGCATTAAGAACTTTGGCGACAAGAGCGATGTATACAACTACTACGGCGAGCTGTTGCTTGATCAGCAGAAGTACCAAGAGGCGGTTGAAAAGTTCGAAACTGCTGTTGAGATGGAGAAGAAGGGTGTTGGTGAGAGGGGAGGCGGCATGAATGTGTTGCCTTTGATCAACAAGGCTCTTGCTCTGTTCCAGTGGAAGCAAGACTTCAGTGCAGCAGAAGAGCTGTGCCAGAAGGCCCTCATCAGTAAGTTCCTCATTGCAACAACACATTTCGGTTCCTCTGCTGACTTTATGTTTAGTCGACCCTGAATGCGACATCGCTGTAGCCACCATGGCTCAGCTCCTGTTGCAACAAGGCAAGGTCACCGAGGCCTTGACCTACTTCGAGCGTGCCGCAGAGCTCTCTCGAACAGAGGGCGAGATCGTCAACGCTCTTTCCTACGCAGAAGCAACTCGAACGCAGCTCGAAGTCCAAGAGAAATACCCACAATTGGCCGCCAAGCTGCAAGGGATGAGTGCAGGTATGGCACCGGCGATGAGGTAATGAAAGCAGTTTCGGGCGATTGCCAGGTGGACGATGGACAGCATTCATCGTGTGTACTCTTGGTGAGCGTTCTGTTTTTTCCCTCAGCCGGCGTTGATCGCACTGGCGGTTCTGCCGACCAAACTGTATACTATTGTGCAAAGCAGATACAGACAGCTTGATTGTAATACTGCTCCTCTCAGAAACGACGTGACTCGGAAACACCTGTTCGCTCATGAAAAAAAAGGCACAACCGGTCTTCCGCGGATCGCAAAGCAATGCTTCATCTTGTTGTTGGTTGCCACGAACGACTCGCAGAAATTCCGGGCTTAGACCAACATGCAGCCCCTGCGTTCGGCGTGAAATGCCTTTGCCAAGGAGCGCCTCCGATCCTTCGAACAGTTCCTTTGCTGTGGTGCCTACGGCAAACCAAAGGATTCCACTTAGCCGCGAAACTATTCAAGACTGCTTTTAAATTTAGGTAGGCCGCCCAGCTGAGAGGCGTGTGAGTACGCGCTCAAAGTCTTTCGTTTCTTGTATTTCCATCTTTCTTTTCTCTTAGTCTCCACGACGAGAGCCGGTAAACATGCGTGTCGCAACATCCACAGGACTCGGGGCCTTCCTCCTCACAGCATCAAGCATCGTCAACGCGATCGAACTGGACATCAACAGCACCGACTCAATCCTCCGCGCAAGCAGTACAATCGTTCAAAACATCTTGCAAATCTACAACAATGGCTCTGACACCGGTCCTCCCATTCCCGGCCTCCTACCGGATCCCTACTACTGGTGGGAAGCAGGCTACATGTTCGACTCGTTGATCAATTACTGGTCTCTTTCAGGTAACGACTCGATCGTGCAAACCATCCAGGAAGGCATGCTCTTTCAAACAGGACCGGATAACGACTACCTCCCACCGAACCAGACGAGGAACCTCGGGAACGATGACCAGGCCCTGTGGGCTCTGGCTTCGATGACGGCTGCTGAGAAGGGCTTTCCATTACCTAGCGGATCGAACGTGACATGGATCCAGCTGGCTGAGAATGTGTTCAATGAACATGTTGCGAGATGGGACGATGACACCTGCAATGGAGGACTGAGATGGCAGCTCTTCACGTTTAACAATGGGTATAACTACAAGAACTCTATCTCTCAGGGGACCTTTGCGTATCTGGGCGCGAGACTGGCGAGGTACACGGGCAACAGCACGTACAGTGACTGGGCGCAGAAGGCCGTGGACTGGACGAGGAATGTTAAACTGCTCACCAGCGACGGGGCGATTTACGATGGAACGGATGCGACGCTTAATTGCTCAGAATTAAATCACATCCAGTGGACGATCAACGCCGGACTGTTCATGAACACGGCATCCTACCTCGTCAACATCGTAAGCACCCATCTTCTTACCCTATACATCAAAGAAAAATTACTGAACCCCCATCCCAGTCCCAATCCTCCGCCTGGAACGACCTTCTCTGGCCGGTCTTCCTCGAATCCACCAAAATATTCACAGACGCCGGCGCCTCCGCCAACAGCCAAGGCCGCAGCATCATCACCGAAGTCGCCTGCACCATGGAAGACAACTGCAATGTCGACCAGAAAGCCTACAAAGCCACCCTCGCCCGAGCCCTCAACATCTTCCAGTCCCAAACTGCCTCCTCGCCAAGCACATTCAACGGCACGAGCTCCTCCGACGCTTATAGTCGTGCAGCAGCAATTCTGCGAGCGTCCGCTGAAGGCGCCGCCGCGCAATGTTCTGGAGGCGACGATGGAACGACGTGTGGCTTCGACTGGTCTTCGAGCACATGGGATGGGACGAGTGGAATGGGACAGGAATTGAATGCTTTGGAGGTGTTGTTGGCGAATTTGCCGGCTAAGGCGTTGAATACTGCCAACGATACCTCTATAGCTGGTAGCGGTGGCTCTGGATCTAATAGTACCTCAACGGAGGAGAGCGGTGGTAGTAATAGTACGGGTACCAGCACGGGGAGTGCAGAGAGCGCGAGCTCGTCGACGAGTGGAGCAGCGGGCTTGTGGTCTTCTTCAGCATTTGTGGCGTTGTTCAGCGCTATTGCTATCAGCGTCTTGCGGCTGAGTTTGTAATCTGTATGTATATTGTATACCACTGTATTCTGCCGATGTATCTCCATGTTTGATCAAATGTCCCCTGGCAAGGTCTAGAATCCTTTCACTCTGCAAAACCAGCCTAAACCGGACTCGATCACCGCGCAGGAGGATCCACATGCTAGGTTGCGACTTCAGCTGCTGCTACTCACGATGAGTCTTTCAGCTATAATGGCTATGAGATCTCTTACATAACCCAAGTCATTGAAGAGATAAGCTATAGAGGGACGATTTGAGTGTATATACCTGTCGATCCCTCGAACGAAATATCTCCAAGGCCCTCACGATATTCTGGATATCTCAACAACCACGCCATCCCAGACTCAGCCTCTCCACCAACAGTCACAACAATGAGTACCAACTGGGGCGCCTCCGGCACAGGCCAAGTAACACCAACCTCCCACTCAACCCCCAACGCCACCCTCGACCCCAGCAAAGTCACCCTCCCCACCCCCTTCACCGTCTGCATAATCGGCGCCTCAAGAGGAATCGGCGCGGGCATCGCCACCTCCTACGCCAAAGCCGGCGCAACAGCCCTCATCCTCGCCTCCCGCCGCATCTCGGGCCTCGAAGAAACCGCCGCCGAATGCAAACGCATAAACCCTGAGATCGAAATCGAAATCATCCCCTGCGGCATCACTTCCGCCGAATCCGTCTCGTCCCTCGCAGACAAGACCTGGGCCCGCTTCGGCCGCCTCGACGTCGTCGCCGTCAACTCGGGCTACTCCGGCCCCGTAGTCCTCAAAGTGACCGAAACCGACCCCACGACCTTCCAAACCGCCACAAACGTAAACTACATCGGAACCTTCCTCTGCGCCAAATACCTCATCCCACACCTCCTCGCGACCCCCAACGGCGCCAAGGCCTTCATCGGCGTCTCGAGCATGGCGTCCTTGATCGTGCGCGGCCCGATTGCGAACTCGCAGTACTGCGTGAGCAAACTGTCGCAGCTGAAACTGCTCGAGCATATCCACGAGGAGTTTGTCGAGCAGGGGCTGGCGTCGTTCGCGGTGCATCCCGGGGCGGTGCTGAGTGAGATGGCGGACGAGTCGGCGCCGGAGGAGTTCAGGCCGTATTTGACGGATTCGCCGGATCTTTGCGGGGCGTTTTGTGTGTGGTTGACGAAGGAGGGGGATCGGAGGTTTTGGTTGAGTGGGCGGTTGGTGAGTGCCAAGTGGGATGCGGATGAGTTGGAGGCGAAGAAGGGGGAGATTGTGGAGAAGGATTTGCTGAAGACGGGGTTGAGGTTGTGAGGATTCTGTTGGAAGGGTCTGTTGTGCATACCAAAGAACTCCGGTCCTGTGCTACTAGGGGTATCGTAAAGAAAAGGCTTCCTCCAATCCTGTTACTCCTGTGACCCCTTCTGGCTTTTAAAAAGAAAAATGAAACGCTCTCATAACCACAGCTGCTGCTGCTCACCCATTGACTGCATGCCCATAGGTTGCTGAAACTGAGAAGCAAACGCCGCCTCTCGCGCCGCAGCCTCCTTCGCCTCCTTCTGCTTCTTCAACTGAACCAAAGAACCCTTCAATCCTCGCAAGTAACGATTCGCCTCCTTCACAAGATGCTCCGGTTCGTTCGAGTACTTGAGAGCCTCAAGCATGGCGCGGACCTGGTTGAATCAAGTGTAAGCCAAGGTAGCGTTCTTGAAAGTGATGCCAACACTATACCTGTGTCTCAGATTGAATGTGCGGGCACACGCGTGCATGTCCATAGTGAGCCATGCCGCACAGATTGCAGTGCTCTACGCCAGCCAGCTTGAGAGGGCAGCTGCCAACGGCGTGGAAGCTCTGACAAGCGCGACAGTTGACGCCCACTGGGTACCCGTTTTGGTTGAATTGCGGCGGCTGTGGAGTGCCACCGTTGGTAGCGTTTCCATTGCTTGCAACTTGAGTGGGGTGCTCGATTGGTGTAGGTTCGACAGGTCCTGGCCGAAGTACTTGAACGCGTCGGAAAGTCGGCGCCTCTGTGAGGGCGGTGTTAGTCGACGCCTTATTGCTTCTTGGTCTTCTAAGCAAGTGGGACGTTGTTGTCCGACGACGACGAATCGTCAAGCTCAATGGGCTTTTGCTTGGTTGAGCCTTCTCCATCGACAGCCTTCGTCACAGCACCGGGAACAGCAGCCTTCTTCATGGATGAAGCAGAAGCCTTGCCGTTGCCCAGTATAGCTTGACTGACCGCCATGTCGGTCTTTGTGCTGCGCTTCGACGCCTTGTTGAAAGACGGAGGTATAACACGGAAGTTGGACAATCGCGCCTGGGGATTCGCCTTCCTCGCCGCTGCCGACATAGGCTTCTTGGGCGCGGGCTCTACCTGAGCCACTTTCTTGCCATTCGCGCCAGACTTCTTCGCAGACGAAGAAGTCTTGGGCACACTGGCTTTCTTTGGTGTCTTCTTGGGGGATTTCTGGGTTTTTGACAGGGAAGGCTTACCGGTCTTCTTATGACCTGCGTCTGGTTTAGTACCGCGATGCAGATCCTTCAACTCACCATTCTCCACCATCTCACCGTTGTCTAGATCATCGTCTCCATCGCTGTCATCCGCTTGGAAGTCAGTATCGCTTTCGTCGTTCTGCTTGCGCTTCTTGCCCCGCTTGACTGGAGTCACGTCGATGTCGTCTTGAGCCTTGTCGGTGGTGTAGTCGATGTTGTTCGCGCGAGCACGACGTCCACGACCAAATGCTTCAGCTTTGGCTGCAGCTTCCTCCGCGGCCACACGCTCACGCTCCTTGAGGATGTGTTCCCACACGCCAGGATTTGGCGCAGTCTCATCGGGAGCGTCTTGTACATTCGCATCTTCAAGAGCGCCTTGGTCGTTGGCCCACACACGCGCAAGCGAGAACTGGGTCTCAGCGCTCTTGTCGGCACCTGCTTTGGTGTCTTCCATGTGGCTTCGGTCGAGCAGGCGCTCAACACTAGCGGCATCATAGGTGATGTCCATTTCGCCGTTGTCCTCGAAGAGCTCGTTGGCTCCGTGGCGTAGAATGGATACCAAGTCGTTCTGATCGGCGTCGTCTTCGTTCATTTCTTGAATCAAGACGTGGTCGAGAGCAAGCTTCTTGCGACCAATCTGCATGATCCGCTCTTCGGAGCTGTAGCGAGTGACCAGTTGGAAGCACAACACCTTCTTCTGTTGGCCAATACGATGAGCTCTGGACAAGGCCTGGATGTCCTGATGGGGATTGAAGTCAGGGTCGAGAATGATGACAGTGTCTGCAGAAGCCAAGTTGATGCCGACACCGCCAGCTCGAGTGGACAGCAAGAAGGCAAAGAGCTCGGAGTCTGGTGCATTGAACTCGTCGATGCGCTTCTGCTTGGTCATGGCGTTGATGGATCCGTCGAGACGCTGGAAGCGCAGTTGCATGCCGTCGAGACAATCCTCCACGATGTCGAGCATCTCAAGAAACTGACTGAAGATGAGCACTCGATGGCCACGTTCCCTCAGCTTGGGAAGAAGGAGCTCCAGAAGCTTGAGCTTGCTGCTGGCATCGACGAGGTTGCGATGCGAGGACGCGATGTCCACGTTGCGGTCCTCAATACCCTTGTTGTAGACAAATGGATGGCAAAGGCACTTGCGTAGCTGCATGAGAATGTTGCTCAGACTAGCTCTCTCACCCTGCTTCAGTGTGGCTGATTCAGTGCTGAAGATAGCCTTCATCAGATCTGGATTCTTGGCGAGAATGCTTCGATACAGCTTCTTCTGTACCAAGCTCATGCTCACGGGAAGAATGATCTGAGCCATCGGTGGCAAGAACGTCAACACTTGAGCTTTGGTGCGCCGCAGGAAGAATGGTCGAATCATGTCATGAAGCTTCGCGATCTTCTCCTGGTCAAGGTCCTCGTACTCTTTCTCCAGCTCGGCGGGATTGTACGAGTCGTCCAGGAAGTGCAGCAGGTTGAAGAGCTCACGCTGGTTGTTCTGAAGCGGAGTGCCAGTGAGCAGGATCTTGAAAGGGGCCTTGAGTGCGCCAAGTGCAGCGTACAGAAGGTTCTTGTCGTTCTTCAAACGCTGGCCTTCGTCGACGATCAATCCTTGCCAGGGAATCTTTTGGAAGAATCTACGACAATCATCATCCGCGGCAGTGTCGTAGCTCGTGACAACGATATGGCACTTCAACTCCTTGCTGCCTTGCGGATATAGCTCGTACTGCTTCGCCTTCTCTCTGCTCTCACGCGAGCCGTAGAAGGCGACGACTCGCAGGCCCGGCGCCCAACGCTTGATCTCGCGGCGCCAGTTGGGACACGTAGAGTTTGGAACCACAACCAGAAACGGAAAGCAGCCATGATCTTGGATCAGGGTAGCCAGGAATCCGATAATCTGAATCGTCTTGCCGAGACCCATTTCGTCAGCCAGAATAGCGTTTTTCTGCTGGAACCACTTGTAGTACAACCAGTTGAGTCCTTGGACTTGGTACTCCATCAGCTTTCCGCCCTGCATGCTCTCTGGCTGCTCAGTCTTCTCGAGCTTTTGGAAGTCGTCCTTGTCCTTGCGAATCTTCTCTAGCTTGACCTTAAGCTGGCTAGGCTTGGGCTGACGAACGTAGTAGCCAGCGACCCAGTCGTTGTATGCCAAGACGAAGTCGGACCAGCGCTCGCCATCTTCAGGAGATGGCGGGGCTTCCCAGACGGCATCTTCGTACGAGAGGCCTTTGTACTTGATCAGGGCCTTCTCTACCTCTCGGATACGAGCCTTGTCGACTTCTTCGGTGCGAATGTCCACGTAGCTGGTATACTTAATATCCAGCACGATGTCTGTACGGAGATAGTCTTCAGGAATGGCGTCTTCGGTCCTCATCTTGGGGTGCTGGGCATCTTCGCGCTTGGCGAACGCTTTTCGCATCACGATAGCTGTGACTCCCCACACCCAAGGGCCAGGCATCCACTGGGCGCGGAAGTAGGACATGCCCTCCCACCTCACCAAGTACGCCTTGTCTTGCTCGTTGAGTCCTTCGAAGCCTGCTTCATTGTCGTAGAGATCGTCGTCCACTGGCTTCCAGGCGATGAGTCCTGAGACTTTGGCTGGCATTTCCTTGCACTCTTTGCACTTCCACTCATGGCTGTATTCGCGGAAGCGTTGTTCGGGATCCGCGTTGCCATCCAAATCCATCATATCGGTGAGGGAAGGCAGGTGCTCGAAATGGAAAGCGCGGTAGCATCCCATGCAGCGGAACAACACATTGTCTGCGTTGTTGATGAGCTCGTGAATAACGGGGTAGTTAGGATCAACTCCCCCATTATCTTCGCGCTCCTTCTGCTCTTGAGCTGCGGACTTGCGTGGTCGAAACGGCTGGCAGCCAGCGCCAGGCTGAAGACAGTCCTGGCACTTGCTCTGGTCTGGTGCAGTCTCATCTTTCTTCTGTGCTCTCTTGACGCAACGCCGGCATTGAAGTACGTGCTCGTCATCTGCGATCTTAGTAACAAGATGCTCCCGGTTTGTGCGGGGTCCGAGGCAATTCTTATGGTATGAGATCGAGCATCCTTGGCAGTAGATAAGTTGTGCATAGTTCTTGCCTTGGCCACAAGTATCACACCACTGGTAATGCCGCATGCGGAAGTCGTCATTGGTTGGCAGAGGCTTGAAGACTTCGCGGACGAGCGATATCTTGGGCTTGGAAGGAGCACGCTCTTGCTCGCTCTCTGAGCGGAAAATATCGTCCTCCGCAACCTCCTGCATGTCGCCCACATGCCTCGTAGCACGCTCTGACTGGCGCATGTTGACTCGTATGGTGTCGTCGTTGGTACTGCGCTTGTTCTTGCGACGCTTCTTCATGCCAGGAAGATCAGATTGCAGCACATTCATACCGTCGGAGTCTTCCTCTTCCTCCTCGTCGTCGTCCACGAGACCCAGACCGGTAGAAGCCCGTGTCTGTCGGCCTCTGCCACCGACTGCTTTACCTCCCCTGCCTTTGCGAAGACCGGAGCGGGTTGGCTGCGCCAGCTCATCCTCGGAGCCTTCAGGCTCGTCGTCGTCGTCCTCATCATCGCCTTGGTCCTCGTATTGGGTTGTGTCTTGCTTGCGCTTGCCGCCTCGGGTCCGAGTGACAGTGATCTCGTCGTCGTCGTCGGAGATGTCCACGTCGGAGCCATCGACATTATCGACGGTGCTCACAAAGCCGAAGCCATCAGGGTTTCGGCGGCTGCCCGGGCGTCTGGCCGACATTCTTGACTGCTTGGCCGCTGGACCGCGCCGACCACGCTTGGCTCGAGGTGCTGGTTCAGGTGATTCCTCGCTGTCAGATGCCGCGTCTGGTACAAATGCGTTGAGTGCCTCTTGGCCGTTGTTCAAACGAAGCAGCTCGTCGAATGGTATCTGAAGGTCGAGGTGTCAAAGTGTGGGTTTTTGATGAGTGTGTGTGTGAAGAAGAAGAAGCGAAGAGAGAGATTATAATAGCGTGCATGACGTCTTGGCTCGTGCTCAGAAGCTCAAGATTCACTTTTGCCGCTTCTTGGCAATCATGTGATCAACGGAGGTGAGGCAGCGCCGCAGTAGCCGTTTGAGCGCAGGTCGGCCAAGCCAGACGCAGAGAAGAGAGCTCGAGCGCAGAACGAGCGTGCAGGACAACACTGGAGGAGGACTGGCTCGAAAGCTGCCGGAGGGCCAAAGAACTTGACCGTTCTGATACGACGGACAAGAGCAGATATAACCTGCCAGCTCGTTTCGAGCTACCGAATCAAACGCAGAAAGGAATTGATCGAACGTACCTCTTCTGAATGCGTGTCGTCAAACAACACCTTGTAAACCATATCGCCATTCCTCAATTGTCTCTCTTGCAGGACTCGCTTTACAGCCGTCCCCATGGCAGCGTAATCCTCAAAATCGTCTCTATCCACCTCGCTGCGAGATATCTGTACGAAAAGCTCCTGTCCCGAAGGAGCTGGCTGATCCTCCTCTTCGACCTCCATGGGGAGCTGTAGCACGTCGGAATCAATCGACTGCAAATCGTATGTAGAGCCTTCGTCCGACTCTTCAAGGCGCTCGTTGATCGCCTGGAACGAGAGGGCGGGCGGGGAGCCAGTAGCTGATGGGCTCTTGCGTTTGCGACCCGTTTGGAAAGCCGCAAGATCGGGCGTTCCGCTTTGCGAATCGTCGTCCTCCTCGTCATCCGCTGCCACCATTCGAGCAACTGGAGCTACAGGTCCACCCCGTACACATCCTCGCGGTGCAGCAGCGCCAGTCTTCCACGACGCAAGATCGAGTCCTCCGCCGTCCTCGTCGTCCGAGGAATCGCCTCTCGCATCGAAGTGGAAGGACATTTCGACGCCGGAGAAGCTCGGATCCGGGGACTGGGAGAGCAGGCGTCTTCGTCGACTTCTTGTCTCGAGGTAGAGACGCGCAGGAGAGGAGGAAGGTGGAAGTGGACGTTGGGCTCGACGTGGTGAAGTCAATCGCGACCCTGTGAGACGCGCTTTCACGCCACCACAAGCCACACGTGTGGCGGTGCACGCTGGAGCTTGAAACTTTCACGTCCACTGCAATCCACCAACGTTCTTCTTCCTCATCAAATGTTTCGAATTTCAACGTATCGAAGCGTTTGCTTGGGTTGCCGGATATGTTGTCAATCTCAGCAATTATGCAGACAAGTCTCGACCGGCTCGGCAATCAACAGAGGCCTGAGAGCCACTCGAGATAACCAAGGATCCAAAAGGGGTGGCAGAGATCGTTCCAGTCGACCAGTAGCTCGACCCAGGAAGCTCTCCGACACGTATACTGTTCAGTCTGAACGTCCAAGAAGCCAACGAAGCCCGCGCACGTCTTTCTCGTCTAGACCTGAAGCCAGAGAACGCAGGCCAGATGCGTCCATGCAAAGGTGCGTTCTCAATATATGTGGCCTGTCCTTGAGATATCGCTCGCAGGTTCTTGTTCTCGGTTTTGATCTGACACTTCTGTAGAGATGCTGGCCGTCCACGAACACGATTAGGACGGCCTTCCGCAGCTGAGACGAGTTTTGGGCGACGCTCTAGTGGCGAACCCAATGGTCTCAATAATCGACAACGAAGTCTGCGCTCAGCTTTCTCGCCCAGACCTGAGCCGGAAGAACGCACTCGAGACAAGCCTTGGGACAGGTACGTTTACAATGCCCCTGACGAAGCGTGAGCTGTTGTCGCCAAATTCAATTCTTTGTTTCTTCTTGTTCTTGCTGATCTGACTTTCCGTAGAGATTCTGGTCGACAGAAAACACGACTCGCACGGCCTTCCACAGAGCGACCAACTTCTGGACGACGATTCGGTGGCGAATCTGATGATGCCCAATCGCAAGACGGAGTGCGACCTGGACTACTTCGTGAGATCAAGTCAGCTTGCAAGCTAGTTCAGAAGATCCAGCAGCGTGAGGAGTCTGGGGAGGGAGTTGATGGTCTGATCAAGGAGCTGAGAGGCTTTGTGAATAGCATCAACTCTTTCGCCAAGACTGGCACTTTCGATGAGAAGCCCTCAGAGGCTGTAGCGTCGATTCTCCAGAAGTACGCAGCCGAAGGTACGTTCGTTCGAGGAGAGCAGCGATCTTCGAGCAGGAGCATAATCCGTCAGAGGTCAGATGGCGAGCTTGCCGTGAGCGTGGGAACAGGCGGTCCCGTGGAGCAGGGTCATGAGACGTACTCTCCAGCGGTCAGCCGTAAAGGCTCGCAAGATGCGCGGGTAGAGAGACCTGAGAGATTAGAAAGACCTGAGAGACGGTCTTGGTCTGATGCGCCGAGTGGACGTCGTCGAGAGGTATCGTCAAGCAGAGATGTCGATGAAGACGATGAGATCCCTTTGCCGCTACCGTACACAACCGCTGCCAGCGAGTTCCTGTATGGGCACAACACCGTGCTTGCGGCGTTGAGAGCGAAGCAGAGGAAAATGTACAAGCTTTACATCCACCCGAAAATATTCGATCGCGAGGCTGGCGTGGAGCGTGGTCTTGGTGGAAAGGCGTCGAACGAGTTCGTCACGTTGGCAAAGGAAGCCGGCGTGCCGTTCAGAAATGAGTTCAAGACGAAGTTGCTCGACAGAATGTCCGACGGAAGACCGCACAACGGCGTGCTGTTGGAGGCATCCAAGCTACCCACTCCGCCAGTCCTCAGTCTCGGCAAACCGAACGCGCGTGATTCAACGATTCCTCTTGCCTTGGCTCAACAAAGCGCAGAGGATGCAGAAATCAATGGAATGCCAGAGGCAATCAACAGCATCGCTAACAGTTGGAGGCATCCTTTGATTGTCCTTCTGGACGGCATCACTGACCCTGGCAACCTGGGCAACATCCTGAGAACCTGCCACTTCTACGGCGTCGACGCCGTGGCCGTGGCTACGAACACTTGCGCCAACCTCTCCTCCGCGGTGCTCGCGAAGGCGTCTTCCGGCGCCTGCGAAGCCGTTCGATTGCTATCCTTACCACAACCCTCCAACTTCGCCTACGAATCAGCCAGGAACGGATGGAAGATCTACGCGTCTGTAGCCCCGAGTAAAGATGTGGTCGGCCAGCCCACACATTTGACGACAAGCTCAGTCGCAACTGCAAGCCCACTGGCCAAGCACCCTTGCATACTGATGCTCGGAGCTGAAGGCGAGGGCTTGAGGGAGAATCTCCGCAACCGGGCACACTCGACTGTGTCGATCGAAAGAGGGAAGAAGATACGAGGGACGCCGAACGTTGGAGTCGACAGCATCAACGTCAGTGTCGCGGCTGGTGTTTTAATGGATGCGTTCCTAAGCAAGCCCTCCGACGCCCCTGAGAAGATAGACACCACCAGCGATCTTGGCTGGTAAGCAACAACGTAGTAAGTATGAGGGCTAAGAACTGTAAAACACTGTATACATATCGCGACTTGAGGTATTGACAGACCCAGTCACTCCGGCTTCTTCGCAACATAGCAAGTCATATCGAATCTCAGAAAGGCCTCACCCGCCGCTTGCTCCTCCTTGGCCTGCTGCTCGATCTTGGCAAGCCTCTCCTCGGTCCAACCGCTGCCCTCTCTACTCAAGAGAGACTTTCGAACCATGCCAGGGACAGAATTGAGTACCGTCCAGGAGATGAAATCGCGAGTCTCCAGGTCTGGGTCACTGCAATGCTTTTCGGCCAGGACATCGACCATGCCGTGCTCGGAGAACAGCTCATCCAGTCGCTCTGCTACGGCCGAGTCCCTAGTGGCGAAGAACTGTTTGAGTGCAGAGACGAGCTGTTCCATCGCTGCTTTCTTGGCGAGAGGTTTGTACTGGACTATGTATGCTCTTTGAGGATCCCAATCGATCCATTGGACATGGCCGCCGGGTTCTAGACAACGTCAGAAGAGGAAGCTCCCGGGTAACGACTGCTCATACTTAGCATAGCCATAATATTCCTCACAGCACGATTCCACGCCTCGCCCACAAGACTACTATGAATGAGCCGAACAGCCACAACATCAAACTTCCCACGATGCTCGGGCAGAGGACCAGATTCGGATGCCGCGTCTTCAACATGGAAACGGACTCTACCGGAACCGAAGAGCTTGTCCAAAGAACCTTCGTCCAGAAACTGATCGCCCGAGATATCGAAGCCGTGGCATTCTGCTTTTGGATAATGTTGAGCTACGTCTGTGAGCCAGATCCCGCTGCCGCAAGCTATGTCTGCGATTCGAAGGTCTGGCGTTTCTGCATCGACGGATGTCGCGGGGTGGATGAGGAAGGGGAAGCATTTGAGGAGGTGTTTGTGCTGTTCGTTCAGTCTGACGCGGTTAGTATGAGTCTCGAAGTACGAGGTCTTGCTCAATACCTTTGAGTCTCCTTGGTGTCTCGCGGTAGGACGTATATGTCGTTCGTGGAGTTGGCCATATCGCCGGTTCATGCGAGTGTAGCAGTGAAGAAAACACTCCAAGATCCAATGCTTACCCAGGGACGATTAACTTGTCCCCAGCTCTCCCTACCTAAGCAAGATGTGGCCTCGAATCAGGCGGAAAAGGCGAGCACGGTTATGCTTACATGTCTATAGCTATCAGCTGGAAGACCCTTGCCCTTGGACTGCGAGCAGGAGCCGAGTGGTTTGGGAGAGCACTCGCTTCCTTCGATGCTTTACAACTTTAATGTTGCCGATAAGACGGTCGAAGCTCTATTTCAAAGAACATGCTCCAGAACGTGGGTACTCCCGGAAAGCCAAGAGCGTTGTCCAACTGATCGTTCAAATGATCGTTCAACAACATCAGTTCACCCTCCCTCTCGATGACTTTCTGCCATCGGTTGTTGATCAAAATCTCTCATTATCCCTTGCCAGGGACAATTCAACGATGACCACATCTCAGCGAAGAGATAGCACACGACCACTGAGTCGTTACGGAAAATCGCCATACCAATTCACTCATTCATCGCACCTGCCGCACCTTCGCCCCGCATCCCACTTGCCCATTGGCCGCCGAGGTGCGACCTCACCTATACCGCCCAGGGTCCAAAGCTACCTTAAGCCTCTCTGAAGTCTTGTCTCAACTTCATGTCAAACAAAATCCCCCGAGTCTTAAAGAATATCATCATGTCGAACGAAGTCGTACTCTTCGACCTCCCCAGCAGAGGCAAGCCAGCCTGTTGGTCGTTGAATCCGTGGAAAGGTATCACCATCAACATCCATGACCCTCGAAATACGTACTAACGACGAAACGACAGCGCGCCTCGTCCTCAACTACAAAGACATCCCTTACCGCACCCACTGGATCGAATACCCCGACCTCCGCCCAACCTTCCAATCCTACGGCATCCCGCCAAACCCCAACGAAGTCAACCCGAACGCTCAATACTCCAGCCCCGCGGCCCTCCTCCCCGACGGCCGCTACATCATGGACTCCCTCCTCATCGCCCAGGAAATCGAAAAACTCCAACCCGAACCGTCCCTAGGCCTCGACACGGACTTCCCCAAACGCACCCAGGCAATCGTCGCGACGATCCAGAAACCTCTCGGCCCGATCATGATGCCCCGCGTCCCGGAGTTGCTCCTCAACCCCAGGAGTCAGAAGTATTTCTACGAGACGCGAGCGAAGCGCTGGGGGATGCCTCTGCAAGACCTCGCGAAGAGTGAGCAGGCTGGGGAGGTTGCGTGGCAGGGAGCGGAGGAGGGGTTCAGTCAGTTGAGGGAGTTGTTGAAGGAGAATGGTGAGGGCCCATTCATCATGGGGAACGAGCCGACGTTTGCGGATTTCATCCTGGCGGGGTTTTGGAGGTTTGTGGAGCGGTTGAGTGTGAAGGGAGATCTTTCGGAGAGGATTATGGGGTTTGATGCGAGGTTTGGGGAGCACCGGAGGGCTTGTCAGCCGTGGTTGGAGAGGGATGATTAAATTTATGGGTTCGTCGAGATGGAGAGAGTCTGTTATAGCAGCACAGACGTCTGGCGTGGACCTGACAAGAAGTCAGGCCGTGAAAGTCATGCAACTCAGTGATGGCAACAGTCATCGTTGCGGGCGGGTATCTTAGTATGTCGTGATCCATCTATCGTATGCCACATACTCGTCGTATGACAATGAATGTACATGTCCCAGAGATTCCCCGAGGGCTGTTTACTTCTCATTCTCACTGCCGCTACCATTCCCGAAGCCACCCTCAGCCTGGTAAGCCTCGTTATGCTGTGACCTCTCCTTATCCTCATACGGCGCCTTGACACCACCCGCTCCCGCCGGCGCAACAACACTGCTGCGGCGTCTGTGCTCTTCGGTCTCGAGGTAGTTGATGAGGAGCTTGCCGTTCTTATCGTAGCGGTTGGGTGTCACGTCTGGACGGGCGAGCTTGACGACCTCGAAGACGTTGGTGGTCTTGCGGAAGATCTCGTCCATTTCTTCGAGCGAGCGGTAGGCGGTTTCCGGGTCTGTCGTATCGATTAGCTCGTGTCAAAACGTCGACGGAGTTAGAGAGCTTACAGAAGAAGTAGACGCAGGGGACGATGAAGGCGTTGATGACGGCGAAGACTGAGAGTTGTTAGTATCAGTGGGGACGGTTTAGTGTACAATCCTGCGCTTACTGATGTAAGTCTGGTATCCGATCTATCAAGTGTTAGTATAGAATCTCTTTGTGTAAAGGGTAGAGTGCTTACCGTTGCGAAAGCAACCGGAGTGATCATCACGACCATAAAATTGAATCTATTACTGTCAGCGAGGTCGTAGATAGCAATAACTAGTGTATTTCACTTACATCCAGTTGGCAGATGTCGAGAGGGCGCTCGAGGGCGCACGAATTCGCAGGGGCACAATCTCCGAAGGATATAGCCAGGTCATTCCTATGGGACGTCAATTAATCGTCACTTGACTGGCGATATGCTCAACTCACCAAGCCAACCAATCGCAAAGAAGGTGTTAAATATGAACAGGAAAACAGCGGCCACTATGCCAGGACCGGTTCCTCCAACTGATGTGACAGCCGCGAGGACGACCATTGAAAGGGACATTCCAACGGCACCGAACAACATCAGCGGTCGACGGCCAATCTTCTCAATGGTGAATACTGCAATCCAGGATGCCAGGAAGTATTCCGTGCCGTTGCAAGCAGCTAGAATACGCGAGAGGAAGCCAGATAGACCAATTTCCGTCTCGTAGATGGTAGCGGCGTAGTAACTGGCACACGGTGATTAGTCAAAAATCGCACACAATCATTCAGCGTCACTCACGTAATCAAGTTGATGCCGGAAATCTGCTGGAACATCTGGTTGACATATCCAAGAGCAGCACGATGGAAGTTGCGGTCCTTGCCCATCGTGAACACTTCCTTGAACGTTCCCTGGGCCATTTCGATAACAGACTCCTTGATAGCGATGAACTCGCTTTGGATGTACTCGTCCTCTTCGGGAAGATCGCTAAGTGCAGCCAAGACGGTGACAGCTTCAGCCTCGCGCCCCTTCAAGATGAGCCAACGTGGAGACTCTGGGAGCGGCAGGACAAAGGCCAGGATGACAAGGGCGAACAGAATCTGGAACGCGATAGGGAATCGCCAGGAGACAGAGCCTGGAGCAAACGACAAGCCAAAGTCGATCCAGTAACTGCGAACACGTCAGCTCGACACTTCGATGTACAGATATGGGTGCACTACAAACCTGATCATGATGCCTCCGGTGATCAAAGCACCCTCTATTCGCGAGGACACATGTTAGCCATGCTCCATGTATGTCTCGAATAAGGCTTCAGCTGCCCACGTACCTATCATCACCATCTGCCCTCTCCTGTGCGCCTTCGATGTCTCTGACTGCCAGGTAGGCACCGTGGATGTATTGAGACCATTGCCGATACCCGTGATGATACGACCGACGATCAACTGTGCAAGGCCGTATGCAGAGCACTGAAGGATGGCCCCGACGACCATGATAGCAGATCCGACGAAAATCGTTCGTCGACGACCCAGGAACTGACCCAACCAGATACAGATGATCGCTCCCACGAAACAGCCGAGATTGTAAGATCCAATCGCGATACCCTGCGTCGTCGCCCTCGGTGAATTGCCAGGAGCGCCGGCGGTGTTGATCTCCGGGAATACGCTGGTGAATGATTCCAACGTGAGCAGTCCACCCATCACACCCTGATCATATCCGAATCTAAAACAACATCAGCATCATGTTGAATGTGTTCTATTGCTGAAGAATACTCACAGCAAAAAGTCCAACCCGGCAATAATGCCAATGGCGACGTTGAGCTTCGTGCCACGCAGGCCATAGAAGCGTTGACCAAACATCTTGTCTTCCCTGCCAATGGTCTCGTCAGAAGGCTTGAGAGAGGGAAGAAGAGTGACAAGAGGAACAAGAAGTCAACAAGAATCCCAGAGGCGTCCAAGACAGCACGCTTGGTGTGGTTTGGCGGAGCGGTAGCTTTGCGCCAAACGGCAAGACGCTGACCCTATTTAATTGAATATCCAAACCACGCACTGGCCACCGCGACCACGAGATTTCCCATGGGACGAACCCCAGATGGACCCCGGGCAGCATGCTGCTCGCGTGCTAGACTGCTGGCCTGAGAGAAGCGAGCAAATGGCATCGCCTCCCTGCGAAATAACATGCGTCAGATGCAGACATACCAGCTGGGATACCCAAAGTGGAAGCCCGATGGGACGCTCAGGCCTCGTACAGATCGCTCGAATGCCGCGCCGGGTCGTCTTGTACACTCACGATCTCCGATATGGCCCATGTTGAACGTTGCATTGCTGCATGCTCGTGGCGACCACGCTGTCCGAGGCCCGCCGTCGTGCCCGCTTGGCCATTGGAGACTGCAGAGCCTCGTCGATTGTTCCCTTGTGAGGTTCAAGGCAAAGTGTTGGGTTCAAGTAAAGTTCCCACTAGTGGCACGCCTGCTCGGCGTCTAAGGCCGTGCGCTGACGTACGAGGTCTCCGTCTGGAGGCTCCACGATCTCCATCAAAACACCCACACTCACGACAGCAATGGCCTCATTTTTCATCTGGAGATGCCTGACGCCAAGGCTGTCGGGCCCGCATGTCCACCGCTGCTTCTTCGGCGACGGCGAGGATGACCGGCTCGAGGATGGACTCCAGCGCCCTCGGCACGGGTGGTAGCATCGGCTGGAGTCTAGCGATTGAAGCGGTAAGTGCTGATCTTGCTGATGGATGGCCGGCATGCAGTACTTGTTGCGAAATGGCGCATCCTGAGAAGGAAGACTGCGTGAGGCTGAGGAGTGCGAATGCTCTTTACTCGATCAATCAGATGCACTAGCGTCGAAGGTACATGTACTTCTTCAGCAAGACTTCTTGAACTGAGCCGCGAATAAAGTCACGGGCTGTTCAAATCTACAATGTCCCGGTGCCGTCAGGCCCTACCCACAACTATCAAGTCCCAACACGCTGATACTTAACCCATGACTACTCACGTGTTGCGGAGTTGGCCGCTTTTGGCCGACGGCGACGCCATGGATATGCATGGCGATAAGGCAAGTACGGCCTATTCAGTCTTTCTCGTGATGAATTCGGCATTGCGTTCGGATCTGGGCATCAACAACAGCTAGCAATGACTACCGTTAAAACGACGACGTACAACGAGGCCTGGAATGGCGCAAAGCAATACCTCACCCAGCGTCTGGGAAGCACCCAAGGACAAGGCCAAGATGCGGACTTTGGCATCCCCATCATCGACATTGGCCCATCGTACTCATCAAATCTAGGGGACCGGAAGCAAGTTGCCGAACAGATTCGAAAGGCTTGTGTCACCTCTGGCTTCTTCTACATTACGAACCATGGCATTGACAAACAGGCATGCCAAGGAATTATCCGTCAAGGACAGCGACTGTTCAAGGAGCTATCTCGTGAACAGAAAGAAGCCATCTCGTTGAAGAAATCGCCCTACGGATATGGCTGGGAAGACGCCACTTCGACGAGCCTCCAGAACGATGTCGAAGAGTCGAAGGAGGGCTTCAATTGGAGCTATGAAGAAGACCTTGACCCCGCTGGTGGCGATGGCGGGTATGTCCAGATTGATGGCAGCACGGCTACGCATGTCAACCAATGGCCAAGTGAGAAGGATCTTCCCGGATTCTACGATGGGATCAAGCACTATTATGGCCCTGCTTTGCAGCTGGCGAGGCATCTTTGCAAGCTATTTGCAATATCCTTGAGTCTGCCTGAGGACTACTTCGGTCCAATGATCACACATCCAAGTGGCAATTCTCGATTTATGTACTATCCACCAAGCAAGAACCCCGGCCCTCTGAACGATTCTTCAGCAAGCGGCGAGATTGGTCTGGGAGCACACTCTGACTACCAAGTCTTTACGATCTTGCTCTGCTCTTCGACACCTGGGCTGGAGATCCTCTCGCCAAGTGGCCGTTGGATTACTGCACCTACCGTCGAGAATGGCATCATTGTCAACATTGGCGACATGATGATGAGATGGACCAATGACATATACAAGAGCACGGTCCATCGAGTGGTGAATAGGACCGCAGCGGCGAGGTACAGCATGCCGCTATTCTTTGGTATCAACAATGACCAGATAGTTGAGGTACGTCTTCCAATTAGAATGAATGGCTTCAATATTGACTCATTACTACAGACTCTGCCAAGCTGCGTGAGTGAAACGAACCCATCGAAATACGGACCCATCAAAGCAGGAGAGTACGTGCTGCAGAGACTAGCCACTACGAGAAACTATTAGACTACTTTGCGTACAGAAAGTCATAACTCCAATTCTCCTCCGGCACATCTCTATACTTGATGCTTGTAGGGTGCTTCTTCCGCGCGGGTAGCAGCCTTCTGATATACAAATCACCCACATTGATTGGCGGTGGCTTCTCTTGTCCAGGCTCAAGACAACTCTCAAGCACTTCGATGTTAGCGTCCGGGTCCTGGCTCAAGAAGAACGGGATCGAAAATCGTCTCTCGCCAGTCTTATTCCGAACTCGATGAACCGTCGCCACGAACTTCCCATTCGTCTGCCGTTCCAGATACTACACCCTCATCAGCTTCACGACCTCGCTCGCTCAGGATCACGTTCGCATAATACTCACCTGCCCAACATTAACCACAAAAGTCCCCGCCTTCGGCGGCGCCTCAATCCACACGCCATCCCGATTCAACACCTCCAACCCAGCCACCGTATCCTGCAACACCATCGTGAACCAACTAAAATCCGCATGCGCCCCCAACCCATTCGCATTAGCCTCACAATCCGCCGGCAAAGGCGGATAATGCAGCGCCCTGAGCCCCCAAATCGGAAACCTGAAATCCTTATCAAAAGTATCCTCCTGCAGACCAAACGCCAACGCGAACAGACGCACGAGTTTCATCGCCAGGGGATAAACGGCCGCATAGTAGCGATACATCCCCTCGCGGAACCAAGGGGTACTAGAAGGCCAGATATTCTGCGGGTGGGTAATATGCGCTGGCGGAGATCGACCCGTCTGGCCAACATAATCCTGTTCCGGCTCAATTACGCAGTCACCAATACTATACGCCTCCTTGACATCCCCCTTCGTCCGCGGATCTAGCTGCGTCTCGAGCATAGGCTCATAACCCCTCATGGCCGCATTCCTGTGCGCGTGCGCTTCCATCTTCGTCTGGAGATCGACCTCGAGGAAGAAGCGTTTCATGGTGTCGAAGATGGCGGTTTGTTCGGCTTCGGGGATCCCGTGGTTCGAGGCGTAGAAGAAGCCGCTGGTGGTGCAGGCGGTGTAGATTTCTTGGGCGAGGGCTTTGCGGGCTGAGTGGTCGGGGGATGTGAGGGCGGAGAGGTCGATTGTGGGGATTGAGGTGAAGTTTCCCGTGGCTGTGTTCTTGTTGATTTTGCGGTATGTTGCTGTTGAACCCGAGTGGAAGTAGACGACCTGGTTTAGATGTCAGTCTTCCATTTCGAGATTGACATGGGTCCTTACATCTTCGTCGTTCGCGGGCACTGTCTCGGTTTTGCTTGTCGTCGACATCTTGGATATGTCGTCGCTCGGATCCCAAGTTTTGTTGATCTGAGTTGCTATCTCCAGTTATCTCGAAGTTGCAGAGCTACAGCATGAGGAGGCGGGGTAGGTACCAAAGCGGCCAACTTCGCCTATCGAACGTACTGATAGCAGCCGGTATCAATGCATCCTCCTTTTCGCAGCGATAACAATGTCGATCTCAAAGATGTGAAAGAGGGGGAAAATGGCTGGACAGTCGAGTTTCTTTCTAGCGTGCTTTAGCATACACCATCTCGAAAGCACAGCAGAAGCGTTGTCAAGAAAATGGACTTCATCCACCAAGCCTTCCAATCCTCCTACGGCACAGAGAACCCCAAATTCTTCTGGTGGTACCCAGAAGGCACCCCAGCGAAGGAAAAGAACCTCCTCACCAAAATCGACTTCTTCATCCTGACGTACTGCTCTTTCGGATACTTTGCAAAATGGCTGGACCGTAAAACCCACCCCTATCCCATCACCCACACATCACCCACAACTCCTCATCACTTACTCTTTTGTAGAAGCCAACCTCAGCAACGCCTACGTCAGCGGCATGAAAGAAGACCTCTCCATGTACGGCAACGAATTCACCCTCGCGACGACGCTCTTCAACATCGGCTCTATCGTCGGCGGCATCCCCAGCAACCTCCTCATCACCTACGTCCCACCCCGCTACATCCTTCCCGGCTGCGAGCTGCTTTGGGGTATCATCACCATCGGAACCTACAAAGTGTCGCACTCCAGCCAGCTGTACCCTTTGCGGTTCTTCCTGGGACTCTTGGAGGGCACGAGCTTTGTTGGAATTCAGTATGTCCCCGTTTCATGAATCAGACAATTCTTCTTTCACTCCTTGCTGTATTCGGGAGGGGTGGGTTCCGCGACGCCCGCATTTTGATGACAGTCGTAACCGGCCGGCCTGACTTGTGAGATAGATATGTCCTCGGGTCGTGGTACAAGCGGAATGAACTGGGCAAGCGGACGGCTATCTTTGCTTGCTCGGCGTATGTGGGGACTGCGTTTGGAGGGTATATCTTCAGTGGTGTGTATGCTGGGATGAACGGGTATCAGGGGATTGCGGCCTGGCGATGGGCGTTCGTGGTCGATGGGATCATTACTGGTAGGTGAATCTTCAGGAAGGCGGGCGGTGATGCTCATTCTTTGCAGTCGCGATCGCCCTGTACGGCCTCGTCTTCTTTCCGGATACCCCTGAGAAGACGAAAGCGTTCTACTTGTCGCCAGCCGAGCGAGAACGATGTGTTGAGCGACTCGTCGAAGAAGATAGAGCGCCCGTCGGGACCTGGTCCTGGGATCTGGTGCCTCGAATCTTCGGCTCATGGCAGTTCTATGTCCTGACGATCCTGTGGATGTAAGTACCAGCGCCCAGCCACGCTGAAGGTGTTAGCTGATATGACCATTAGGTTCTGGCAGACGACTGTTGGCAAAGTCGGCAATACAGTCTTCCAGCTCTTCCTCAAGAACGACAAGACACACTCGTGGTCGGTGTACGACATCAACAACATACCGACGTCCATCAACGGTGAGAACAAACATTCGTCCTACAATCACAAACCATCTGCTGACAATGATGAACAACAGGCTTCAACATCATGATGGTCATGCTCATCAACATCTACGCCGACGCCACCGGCCGGCGCATGGTCGCCGCAGTCTTCAGCCTGTGCATCCTCCTCTTCGGAACGATCTGCCTCGTCGTCTGGGACGTCCCTCTCGGCCTGCACATCCTCGCATACCTCTTCGCCGCCTGCGATGGGCCGCTTTCGCCGCTGTACATGGCGTGGGCGAACATCCTCTGCGGGAGCGACAAGCAAGTCCGAGCCATGACATTAGCCATGATGAATGCTTTTGGGAATGCCACCACGACGATTATCCAGCAGTTTGCCTATCCGGTCACTGCGGCGCCGAGGTATGATGTTGGGTTCAAGACTAGTCTTGGGTTGATTTGTGGGATGGTCGTGTGGGTGTTTGTGTTGAGGTTCTTCGAGCTTAGGTCTTTGAAGAAGGCGGAGGCGGATGTTGAGGTTCTTGATGGCCAGGAAGCCATGAGTCTTGACGGTGAGAAGAAGGATCCGGGCAAGACTGGTGTTGTTAGTGTTGTGGCTCAATAGATCTCGAGGCCGCCTTCATCTTGTCCGATGTGCTGCTGTCTTTCCAGGATCCACATATGATGGCTCACGCCCTGAGGACAGCGGCACTCGCCAAAACCGCCACACATCAACCAAGCATCAACCATACCATCCACGCACAAACCCTCAAAGGCTCGAATGCACGCATGCGTGAACTTCACTTCACCAGAGCTGCGTCCGAAACACGCCCTGACGCGTCCTCCCAACCTCCTTCCACGCATCCTTCTCGACCTCTTCTCGAAGCCGCCCGGCTCTCCCAATCCGTCATCCCGTCGAACGCAGGATTCAAACTCTGAATCTCACCTCTCCTCTTCCTCCTCTCCACGGGGAAACGACATCCTTCCCGACATTGCATGCACATAAGATCGTAGATATGTCGTTTTGGGTATTGATGGACATTGCAGCGCGGCCGACGGGTCCGAGGGAGGACTTCACCGCGAGGATGGGATTCTGGTGGCGAGGATGGCGAGGAGATGGGCCATGGCCATGGCCATGGTTTCTGACGACCTGAACATCTCGAGCAGGCCAGATTACAATCTCCTTCTCATCGAAGTCGTCGTGTCGCGTTTATCTCCCCGTCATTCCCAAATGAACGATTGGGCCCATCGAGTCCCGGCAGAGAAGTCGCCTTCACGACATGTCCTTGCCCAGCAAGCCATCATATCGCGACACTCGCTGACCTGGATGAATTCGAGCAGACGAGTACCGTCTGCCATTCCCACAAGCCCGTGATGTTCATCTGTGGAAGCTTCATCAAGCAGCGCTCTCATTTCCAAGCTCTTTCTGGTCACTCCTGTTGCTGAAGAGCACGTCGCTCTCCAACCTCTCTCCCCACCGGTTTGTCGAGGTATTGGTGATGAATGGTAAGTTGCTGCGTGCCAGAGCAATGGCGTTCTTATCTCTTTGTTGATCGCGATTGCGGCATGATTCGATATTCTTCCGTTTGCAAGAGCAGTTCAAAAAGACAGCATCATAATAAGACGAATATATCGAGTGAGTGGAAAAAGAGACGAGGTGGAAAGCGCAATGCTGTAATAAGCTTTTCTTTCCTGAGGCGCTATCTACGGCCTGTTGCAGCCAACGTGCTGACTACGATGTTCTCGAAATCGAGAGAAGGTGCCAAGAATGAGTCTTGACGAGAGGTGGACTGATGTAGCAACAAGAGTCGAGAGGGGATGGTGCTCTACCAACCGCCAGAAGCAGCGGCCGGCTCAGGAGCAGCGTTCTCCCAACCGCCGCCACCAGAAGCAGCGCCGCCGGCGGAAGCCGCACCAGCACCGCCATCCTCCCAGCCGCTGTCGGCACCGCCCTCAGCTTCAGCAGGTGGGTTCGTGCATCGCTTGTAGGAGTGGCCCTTCTCCTTGCAGTTCGAGCACTCGACACGGGTCCAATCGGTGGGCTTGGGGCAACCGCGAGACTCATGACCGAACTCATCGCCTGTGAATTGAACAGTCAGTGATGAGATCAAGGTCAGACGACGGGGCATACTCACAGTTGCGGCACTGGATCTTGGCCATGTTCTTGGGCTCGGGGCACTCGCGAGAGACATGTCCCAGGCCGTCGCAGTTACGGCACTGCATGACACGCTCCTTGTCGCAATCCTGTACAATCATGTCAGCAGTTGTGCTTGTAGCCCAAGGATATTGATATGACGCACCTTGGCACGGTGGCCCTCCTCCTTGCAATTGCGGCAGATCTCAGGCTCACGATCTGGGCAGTCGCGAGAGAAGTGACCCATCTGGCTGCAGTTCTTGCACTCGACATCGCTGAGGTCGCGAGGCTCGGTGCACTCCTTGGCCATGTGGTCCTCAGAGCCGCAGTTGCGGCATCCCTTCTTGGCCGACTTGCGCTCTTGGGTGCAGTCACGAGCACGGTGGCCCTCCTCGGAGCAGTTGGCACAGGTGATGATGATGCGAGCTGCCTCGGACTTCTCCTGCTCGCAGTTCTTGGAGATGTGTCCGATCTCGTTGCCTGTTGACTGGTCAGAATTGTATGGATACCGAGTGGGGGCGGGTGCTCACAGTTGCTGCACTTGAGGACCATGCCATCCATGACGAAACCGGCCGTCTCGAGACGCTCCAGGTTCTCCTCAGGAGAAGATGGCCATCCCTCCTTGAAGGCCGCACGCTTCGGCTTGTTGGACCACTGGATGGAGACGACGAACTTCTGACCGTCCTTGCCTTGCAGGTTGACGATCGTGTGGGTGTCGGAAATCTCTTGCTCCTTGGCAATGAGATGGGTGTTCATGCGACCATCACGGAAAGTCTTCTCAAGCTCGACGAGCGTGACCTCAGGAAACGACTTGGCGTACTTGACGATGCCCTGTTATACTTGTTAGCAGGCATTCCATCAAATAAGTTATCTTCGAGGACTTACGCTGCGGATATCGCCAACTTCCTTCTCCTGATCAGCCTCGACGAGTTCTTGCCACGCGGCATCCGGGTTGACGTCGTCCAGGTTGAGGCCGGCGACCAGAGTGTAGAGACGGTTGGCGTTGCAGTCCGCCTTCATATGACCCTCCTGCTTGCAGATCTTGCAGACGATTGGGCCGCGGAGAGGGCACTCAGCAGCGCGATGGCCGACCTCGCCGCAGGAGCGGCACTCGCCAGTGAACTCACGCTCGACGCGTGGGTTTGGGCAGTCGGACTTGTTGTGGCCGAATTCGCCGCAGTTGAAGCACTCGCCAGAGTTGGCGGGCTTGTCTGGGCAGTCACGGGCGAAGTGGCTGATCTCGCCGCAGCTGAAAATGTGTCAGTGAGGGTCGATGAGGCAGTGGAGCTGAGGGGCACTTACACGCGGCAGCCGTCATCGCCTGGAGTGCCGTCGTACTCGCCGGCGTGCTTGGAGACGTTCTCGGCTGAGAAGCCACCGACATGAGAGAAGCTGTCGTCACCAGATTTGAGGTCGAAGCCTGTGAAGACATCAGCAAACTGCACGAGAAAGAACATCCACGTGTGTTACTCACCGCCGCTGCCGCTCGGGCCGTCCCAAGTCGAGGAGCCCATCTTGTCGATGATTTCGAGGATGAGAGAGGAGTCAGGTGTGTGGTAGTTGAAGGAAGCGCGAAGAAGCACGTGAAGTCGAGTCTGTTGTCACTGTATGAAGTCAGCAAATGGCCTCTAGAAGATGCCGCTTCTCGAGTGACGATGACAGATGGCGGATGGCGGATGGCGGACGGCGTGGAAGGCGGTTGGTGGGCGTGTCTGGTCGAGATCAGCGTACAAGATGAAAGGGCAACACTTACGACTCTGGTGATGGGTCGCGATGGGGTCACGTCTGCTGTGCGAAGGTCGGACTGCAGAAGTGGTGTGTTGGTGGAAGCGGTGGAAGAGAGCCGAAAGTCGGCGGGCTTTTATGCGGCGCTGGACCCTGAGCGGGCGCACTTCGGGTCGTTGCCTAGCGCGACGGAATCTCTTCTGACGGAAGGAGCGACGGTGAGGTTGACGAATTCAATGTGCCGCTCGTTCTTTGGTTTTGAGTAGGCAGCACTTGAGTGCTCACTCATGAGCTATGTTTCATCTTCTGAAAAGGTCTATATTCTATAGGAATCAAAGTGGTGCCCGTTTTGGAAGGAGCATTGATATCACGTGACGTGAAAGTGAGTGAATCTTGAGCAACTTCACCCCTTGGCCCTTGATCCCGACCACCACCACACACATTCGAAGGAATGAGGGTCTATATCAGCAGAAAATGCACTTGAGCAGAAGCTCGTCAAGTCAGAGTTTCAGAAATGGATCTGTAGACTGCAGCTTTGAAGTCATTTTCATTTCATTTCCACGCTATCTCACTGTAGCGCCTCGCCATACGCTCTCATGATCATCAATGATGGTATCGTGCGGACGTTTCATAACACCAACCCTATCCAAACGCCAAGCCCCCCCCCCTTTCCAACACGCTCGTCTATACACCTCTGAACAACCGAATGACCAAGAACCAACAACAACCGATGAAGCGGACTGCGGCAAGTGCCGCCACCGAGTATAGCACCACGGCCATGTAGATGGTCGCACGCTGGGTCGTGGTCTCTTCGTTGTTGTCCTTGACGTTCACCCGCTGCAGGCCGGCTGTGTTCAGCACAATGGCTGCCAGCGCCAAGTTGCAGAACATCCAGGCGAGCACGACTGCGGACCGGAAGCCCTTGTAATAGTCTTCATGCTTTTGCTCCGCCGTGACGGTCTTCTTCGGTGCTTCATACTTCGTACTGAATACGCGCAATTCTTGCTCATACTGAGTGTTGAGATCCGCATCATCAGTCGGAATTGCGACATCGACCTTGCCGCCAGGCTTGAGATTCGCAGCTGGCAGCTTTTCCGGCTTGTCGTCACCCTTGGTTCCCCATGTGATGTCGTGCGTGTTGCAGAAGGCATACACGTTGAGAATGTTGAGGTAAGTCGGCGTCAGCAGCATGTACTGCAGGAAGGACGTAAACATATGCCAAGGATCCAGGAATAGTATCGAAGCTACGAAGTAGAGGATGTAGGTCGACAGCATGGAGATGATCAGCGTGAAGAAGATCGAGTTCGTGAACAGCATGGCAAAGGAGAAGCCGTTATGCTCCTTGATCTGCTCTTGCACCGATCTCACCGTGATGAAGATCGATGCGAAGAGAAGGTATGCCATGATGATCGCCCAGAAGTAGACCATTGACATGTAGAACTTGTTGCTTCCTTGAGGTCGGTTTCCGAGTGCCAGGACGAAGCAGGTGAGCAGCACTGCGAGGTAAACCCATTCGAAGACGATGGATAAGACCAGGCCTGCGGTGCCCAGCAAGTCAGAGTCCGAAAGAGAAGATGTCAAGATGCGGAAGACCAGGAAGAAGTTTCCCTGCGACGCTGTTAGCATGAAGTACTGATAACTGATGATCAACTGCACTCACAATAGCAAACCAGGCGAACAGCATGTTCACTAGCTGGTAGACGAACTCAATGCACAAGAAGAACTTCCGAAGAGCTGCATGATGACTGCGCCAGAGTTGGTAGAAATGGGCAAGCGAGTAGACGGCGGCGAAGAACGATCCGTTCAGCCAACGTCGTCTCTGGAGGATGAAGTCGGCCATCTCAGTAGGCACGTCCGTCTCGCCAGTAGCTGACTTGACGTATTGCAGGATCCAGGAACAGTTCCTCTTACTGACAAGCTCCCAGCAGAGAATGCGGTCCTCGGCGAGGTACATGTTGGCGGTAAAGATACCGGCATTGGCACCATGCATCTTCTCACCAGCGAAATACTTCTCCAGCGGTCCATGGCCGGCCTTGTCGTTTTGCAGGGCCACGTAGCGATAGGCTGAGAATGCTCCGGGGAGCACAGTAATGAAGCCGAATGCACTCTCGAGAGGCTTGTCGAGGATGTTGCTCATCTTGTATTCGAAGTTCTGTGCCGCCACGAGGGGGTTGATCAAGTTCTTTCCATGCTCCAACATGGCCTTGATCTCACCACAGGCACCACCGCACATAGGCTCCCTGTCGAACGCCTTCCACAAGTCGTAGACACTGCTTCGTCCAGGTCGAGTACCAGCATCGATGAGCACGCAAATATTGGGCTGAAGGACCTCGCCAAAGGCTTGGAAAAACCATCGGTGGGAATTGATCTTCTTTTGGTTCTTCTCTTTGAGACAGAACAGGACCTGCACAGGCGTGGTGCCCTTCTTGACCATCACAACACCCTTCTTGATCTCCAGCGTCATCTGCGTCGTGTACTCGTAAATGTGAGCTGTCACATCCTCGCCGTTGACCTGTTGCTTCGCAATGCCATCTTGGTAAATCCCCATTCCAGCAAGTACAGCTCGAGTTCTCGGATTGATCTTGGCACGGCCGTCTGATACGATACAGACTACGATCTTCTTCCAGGCGTCCTTGCCCCATGTCTTCGACGATGTTCGCGAGTTCATGTATTCGATATTCTTGATCACACCTATCAATGTCCGCGCGAGCAACTCGTCCTCCTCATTGTACATGGTGATGACGATGAACAGCTCGGTCTGGCGGGGTTTGGCGAACAGACGTTGTCGCAGAGTGAACCGCTTCTCATAGAACTCGCTCGGATCACAAGTGGCTGCACTGTATCGCATGTGTGTGAACTCGTCTCTTTCTGGCGGCTGTGCGTGTGGTACTTGGTTTAGCAGCCGAGGTGGGATTGGGCAATCCAGCACCAAATTGCCATTGAACAACTGCACCTCCTTGACCGTCTTCCATCTCCTTATAGGCGCATTCGCCGCGGGTGGTGGAGGGTCGTTGTATCCTGCCTCAAGATCCTCGTGTTCAGGTCCTGGGGAGAGGACTTCTTGGTGAGGATCCGGTCCATACGAAGCGCCAGGCTGCAGTATTGGGCGGGTGTCTGCGTCGTCTTGGTAGTATGGGTGTTGAGGGGCATCATATGCGTCAGGGTGTTGAACGTAGTCTTCGTGTTCGTAGCGAGGGCTGAGATTGTATTCTCCCCGACCTTCGTGAGCTGCTTGCTGGAAAGGATTGGGGGTGTAGCCATGCTCGTGTGTATCATCGTACGCTTGGTTGTGACCGTATGTGTTCGGCATATTGGAGACTTCGTACGTCGGCTGCGCTGCTAGCCGATCGGTGGAGTGAGCGGCGTATGGGCCTGGGCCGACAGGTATCTCGAGGGGTTCATTGTGGATATATGGGCGGTCGTCGAGCTGGTAGCCAGGACTGTGGGTTTGATAGCGATCTGGTGAGTGACGATCCATGAAGGGGTTCTGTTCTTGGTCGTCAGGATGAAGATTGCTGTGGCCGTAGCCGCCTGTGTGAGAGGTCAGTGTGTGAATGGATTATGTGGTCAATCGATGGATATGGCCTGGGTAGTCGGGTATCGCAGGCCAAACGCGCAAGGCTGCTCTGAGACGGACCAAGTCGCGCGAGGCAGGCAGTGGAATGCGGGCGGCGTGATAGAGCAGCGAATCTCACGATGCACGTTGCGCATTCGCCGCGGCACCCAGTCCTCCGCCATGTTCCCAAACGCTGCCGCCGACGTACCTAATGGGTTGTAATTGCTCATCTTCCCCTGCTGGTCTTCCTCGTGTTCGTAGTAGTGATCCCAGACTCTCCACAATGCGACTGCGGGTGACGCGCCTGCGCCGGAGGTAGAGATGGATTGGTCGTCTCGGCGCGGAGGGTGAGTGAATATGGCGGATTGCGCCTCGAAAGATTGCGCAGGCTGGTGTTGTTTCAGGTGGTGTGGAGAGTGTTTACAGCTCGACCGGGGTTGCCCTCACGCCGGGCAACGGGTGTTTCGCAGCGATCGTCGGTCGGCTTTCAGGTACGGTGGCAGGAAGAAAGTAGGTAGGGAGGTGTAGGTGTGATGAATTGTGTCGCGGTCGAGTCTATTCTATCCTGCTACCCAGCTGGCCGCCTTCTGCTGACTACAGCTGCGCATGGCAAAACAATCAATACCTAATCTGCACTGCCTGCACGAAGGTTTGACGACACACGCGCGTTGCTCCAGGGCCCGCAGCAGCAGATCGCCGTCTCCACGTTGCTTGCTCTTCCTTCAGCACTTCCTTACGACATTCTACATTTTCTTCCCGATGCTTCCTCTACTTCCAACAGTACAATATTGCCGTCCTACAACTGCGGACGCTTCACCACAGGACAGCTGCCGTGATCTCCTGATCACCTCACCTGCACTAGAGCGTGCCACAATCGTATCTAGATCTCCAGGGCGTAACCAGCTGTACGCCACAAGCTTGTGACTTCAACTTCGCCATAAGCAAGCTCTCAAAATAGAAACACCTCGTCTGTTTAGGGTACAGGCTCTGGCAAGAATGATATGAACCCCTGCTAGTGGCATTCCTTCTGCTAACTATATATGGTTGTTATTGTGGGCCTGCTTCAAAACACGCTGTACGCGTCTTAATTCCTATATTCTTCGATACAGTAATACTAAAGAGGATATTCTTAGCCTTTAAGAAGGGCTAGATATAGGCCCTTTACAAGCACGTATACTAGCTACTTTAGCGGATTACTAAGAAACTAGATACCTTAAAATATACTATATCTTAGGTTATTACACGCCTAGAACGCGAACTACGTACACTACCCCGACGAGGACGCCCTCCTAT